TAATGTTCTTTTTTTGTGTGTAACTAAATAGTGACTGAATGTAATTCAAAGTGTGCACCACAAGAACTCTTAACTGAAATGATCACAAGGTTACATTTTCACAACAGTCTCCTTCGCAACCAAGTGAACAGTAGCCTATTTTTGTTTTTAGGAAAACAATCTCGAGTTTCTCAAATATCAGCTGCTTAGTAGCAGAAAAAAAACCCTGATTTGATTTTCTCAAAACTGCCATGTATGAAATTTTCAATTCGTAAAATTAGTTTTGAAAGAGTTTCATAAGCTGGTCGTGGAATTTTCTGAACCTGCAGATGATTATGTAATCATTCTGTTTACAATAAAACACGTTAACAACAACTGGAGTTGAGTGATGAAAAGATGAACTGATTTGTGAATTGAAAGAATATTCACTGATAACAAATGCTGATTATTGAATGATTGTTTAAGTCTTTTATCAAGAAATGCAGATCATTCTCTGGTTCCAGCTCCTCAGATGTGAAGATTTGCTGCTTTTCTCTGGTTTATATCATTGCAAATGGGTTTTGGACAAATAAATTACTCAAAAAGAATCAAAAACCATCATTAATTGCAGTCCTATAGGAGTCACTATAGATTTTCACTGATACTGTGGCTCAGTTGGATATGATTTCAGATGAAACACATGTCTGCTTAAATTGTGATAACATTACACTCCTGAGATACATAAGATGACATGGGAGAAGGGATGCAGACAGAGTGAGGCTGCTGTAGCTGCTGAGTAAGAGGGTATGTGCCACGGATCAGACCCTGAGTGACAGGTATTGACCCGCCCAGCCAAAAGACTCTGTCTCTGTGGGAACGCTATTGATTATTGCCACAGCAATAAAGGTCCCGGAAGCTTGTGAGAATGTCACGACTCTCTGCTGCCTACCAGCCCCGGTCCCAACACGCAAAGACAAAGACAGAAACACTTTCCCTTGGACACATCCTAACCTGCAGCCACTCATTCTCTCACGCTAACTGAAGTGTTCTGACTGGGAGAAGAGAAGATGAAAGAGAGATTGGTGGCGTAGTGACTGCCTGGCTGGTTGAGGCGTGTATTGTTGAGTAGTTCCAAAAAACAATATATGCCCACTTATCATCAGTGGTATCATGCAGATAGTTTTGGTTTATTTTGCTTGACGTTTTTGTTAGAGTTCTGCTGCCACTCCTGTACGTTTGTGGGACGTACTCCGAGCGACGAAGAATTACTGTCTTTCCAAAATCACTATCCCTGCTACTCAAAATAATCCGCAGAACATGTTGACTTATTTTGTTGCAGCAAAGATTGCAGATTATTCAGGATAAGTGGATTCTAAAAAAGACACGTTGCTGCTGAATTTTCAAAATGTCACTTTTCACTGCTTTGAGTGCCACAAACAAAATCCCATTCACCTCCACTGTATTGGAATGAAGGCAGAAATCTCAGGGTTTGATATTTCAAAACCTGCACAAATAAAACCAAAACCATCTATATGGGTATATTCCACTAAAGGAGAGTAAGAAAATGTGTTTGGTTTTTTTTTGTAATTTGGGTGAAAAGATCTTTAAAGTAAAGCCACACAAGTAATTCAATAACTGCAATTTACCCACTTTTTCTTTTCTCTCTCCTGCAATCTGGTCTAAACAATGAAGATTTCCTTTTTGTCCTTCGTTCTGTCTGTCTTTTCCTTCTCCCCCCAAAACTCTCTTTCACACACCCCCACACCCAAACTCCATCTCCACCCTTGACCTCGCAGTGAAAAGTTAGTGCACCCGAGGTGAACTCTCCCAGATCTGCCCCAGCCACAAATGCTGGGAAAGTGCCACTGCCATACGTGAATGTGTGCGCGCAAGTGTGTGTTTGTGTGTGAGCGTGGCAACACTTGGGGTGTCATGAATAGGAGAGATGTGACCCTCGACCCGATGACCTGTCCACACAAACAGCCGATTTAACCCAACTCTGCTATTGTCAGCCTATGACTGCCTCCGTTTATTCACAGAGCCCACCAAAAGAGTCAAAATGCATTATATATTACTTTGCTTATTATTTTCCACCCACATTTATGACTCTGCGCCTTTTCCTCATTCTTTCTTTCCATCATCTCATTCTCTTCCTCCTGCTCCCATCACTCCTCTTTTTGCTTTCTCCACAGCCTCTGTCCTGCTGACCTCCACTTCTGATCTTTAATTTTCACTGGAGTGTGGAGCAGATTGAGCATCAGTATGAAAATGTTGGCATTGTTAAATTCACTATGGTTTTGGTAATATTTAATTTAGTTCCAATATATATTTTTTGTTCTTAGAAAAGTGTTCTTCTGGCCAAGATTTCCTAGAAGAGTTAATTGTGCATGTGTATATGTATGAACATTATGAGTGTGATGGAATGGACTGCTGATTGAACACAATAGATTTGACATTGTTACAATTATTTAGATAGTTACTTTAGTGATATTGTGTTTAATCTATCTCATTTAGATGATGGGATTATCCTTTACAGAGGAGCAATAGAAAGCATCCTGACTGAAAACATCACAAACTGCCCTGGGATATGCATGGCCCAAGACAGAAGACGTCTGCAGCGGGTGAATAACTCTGCTCAGAAGATCATTGGCATCCATCTACTGATTATCACTGATATCACTGAGGTGAGGTGCCTGTGTACAGCCCAAAGGATACTAAAAGACAGTACCCATCCAGCCACAGCCTGTTCACCCTGCTGCTGTCATACCACCAGACTTCTTAGCAGCTTCTTCCCTCAGGCTGAGACTCCTAAATTCATCCTCAGCTCTCCATCATGTAAAATATATTTCTATGACTCGTTATTTATCCACCCATCTACTGTATATAAGTCTTGGATATAATGTTTTGCTTTTGTGAGTATAAAGAGAACTACAATTTCACCTCGTTATACAACCATGTGTCGTAAAATGATAAATAAATCTACCTTGTACCTTGGGACTTGTTGACCCTCAGATTGACGAATACCAGTGGTTATTTATTTAAGTGAGTAATGGAAGCTATCTTTACCTTTTCCACCAATTTTTGTTTGGCATATTCCTTTACTTTGTGACCATTGTAGTTGGCCTTGTTCCATCAGTAACTGACCCAACACACATTTAATCCTCTGACCTCATCTGTTCACAAGCTTGAAACTCACCACATTCCTAAGGTCTAACCTGTCTGCTCCTGCACCCACTAATCAGGTACGACTTGTCTGATGCCCACATAGTGGCACCCAATACATTAAAGAAGCATCTTTGACCCTTTAATTTACTGAGGAACTAATCTCGGTTTTCTTGGTTCTTTCTCAACAATTGATTCTCTGAGACCATCAAAACCTACCGCTTCTCTTCTCAACAGACCACTCTAGGCTATATAGTGCTTTAATAAATAAAACCAGGGTGCAAATGGAAAATGACAAATTAAAAGTTGTATGTAACTTTCTAACTTTTTAGGGGGCCTCATGGCTCAGTGCCAGAAACGTTCCTATGTTGTTGTTAAGAACTGCCATGACTCCACGGATTCAGTGATCAGTCCCCCTCTCCAGAATTCCAATGAATATTAGGTTGAACATCAGTCCCATTGATCATTGTTCCAATGATCAAGCCTCCGATACTAAACTCATTACTTAACCCATCCTACAGGAGACCGTTACAGCCATGAAGCCTCCTGCCCCTGTGGCGTGCATTGCACAATACATGTGCCACCACCCATCCCAACACAGTTTTAGATCCCTTTATCTTAAATCTTATCTTTTCTATATAAAGTACTTGTACCTTTCCCAATTATCATCTCTTTGAACATAATCTTTTTTTGAGATTCTGTGTGTGAGGTAACCAATGAGCACCTACTAGCAGCTGATGCAAAAAAAAAACAACAACCCCGACTTCTGCATTTTTGGTTTTCTTTGAGAGCTCAGTGTGGCTTTTGACAGCAGGCCATATACAGTAATTGTGATTAACCCAAGACTCTTTTACTTATGGAAAAGTAGCAAATACCACAGTGTAGAAGTATTTACATAAATGTAGAAGTAGTCTATTATCAGCAAAATGTAGTATGTATGTCAAATGTAGTCATTATGCAGGATGGCCACTTTCAATGTGTTATGTTGTTACAGTGTTGTAGCTAATCTGAACTGTTTTATACTGTATCTACAGCTGTGTACTTTAATCTACAACAATCAGATGTTTTGTATGTAGAATTATATGTTACAAAGATACTAGTAACTATTATTGGCAAATAAATGCGGAGTGAAAGTAGGGTATCCCTCTAAATGTAGAAGTGTAGAAGATTAAAGTAGCATGAAAATACTCGTACAAGTAACCCCAGAAGTGTAACTGAATGCAGTCCTTGAGAAAATGTAATTAGTTATCCCACCATTAACCAAAGACAAGCATGAGATCAAAGGCCTCAGACAGAGTGAGTAATGGGCCTTCTCTTGGATCAAAACCCCCCTCTGCTGGTGAATCTCTGAAACTGCTGCCAGAATAAACACCAAAAACTCATCATAATACTGATGTAGTGTACATTTTAGCCTACAGATTTTAGACTACACCTTCATTCAGTATCTCACTTACATATTATATTTCATAACAGGAAACATGCCTGCTTAAGGTTATATAATAATGTTAGTCTAAATGGTTAGAATTTATCTGCTGACTTGCAAACTGTGCTAAAAATGAAACAGGGAGAAACGAGCAGGGTAGGCTACTATTTTCGACTCAAAGCAACAATGTGTTATCACTTGAAATCGGTACTATAAATGCATTTCATGATATTTTACACATTTATCCAGCAATAACTAAAGACAAACTGATTTATTCCTTTAGAGGTTTTTCTGTATACTAACGTCTTCCCCACTGTATGTCTGCATTGTCTGCAGAGATTTACGAAGAACTACAACCTGGCCAAATCACGCCTTCATATTTGGATAACGTTGTCAGACTTTTCTTGTGCCACAGGCCTAAAGCGGAAGTTGTCATTTAACCCTCTCTCTGGCTGGGTTTGGATTTGTTCTTGGAAAAAGCGAGCCAGCCTGAACACAAAATAAGGGGGGGGTGGGTTGAAAACTTATGGGAAACCCTTTTTTTTTCTAGGACTGCTGACGCGTCCAGCAGCTACTTGCTGTGCTGAAGCACCGCGGATCAAAACCCTCACAGCTTCCATCATGTTACTTCACTTTCTAGTTTTCGGGGCCTTGGTTTTCCAGGCTGAATGTTACTTTTCGGAGGAAAAATATCCGGAGGAGTCGAAAATGCAGCCTCCTACGGTGGTTGTCGCTATCATAGCCAGAAACACCGCTCACTCCCTGCCGTACTACCTCGGAGCTCTGGAGAGGCTCAAATTCCCCAAAGATCGCATCTCTGTGTGGTGGGTTTCCTGCATGGGCTCTGTGGACTGCATGCACTGCCAGGCTGTTTGTAGAGGGCTCTCCTTTTTATCTAAAGAAGCCGTTCAAAAGGTCAATGGCATTTAAATTAGTTTGTGAAAGCAGCAGCGTCCTACCCCTCCCTTCTTCCCTCAGTGCCTTTCACAGCCCAGGCTGCCTTTCACTCTGCTACATCCATTTCCTACTGTGGATTGCATGACATTTTTTGTTTTGTTGAGTTTGTTCTAACTGTTTTTTGCAAGTATTTTAATAAAATATGTCTAACAATAATGATTAAAACTCACAAACTGAAAGGTCCTCGAAGGGTTTTTAGTTGCAAATGCCTCTGTGGGGTACTTTGATGTAGGATACTTTGTGTCATAAAGTTACCCTGATCTAATTTAAAATCTGTTAAAATTTCATTAAGAGAAAGATTAACTGTTACCCGTTTGCCTTTACAGCACTACTTAGAGCTGTGATAATCACATAAAACGACCTATGGTGAACAGTGATGTAGGAAAAATGTACAGATATTGTTTTGTTAGGCCTATGTGTTTTGTAAAAAGGTGATAATTATACTATAGCTGGTGTGTTATTCAAGTACACTTTTGAGCTAGGGTGGGGATTTGTGGGGACAAATCCTATGTCACAGCAATGACATTTTATATCACTATATCAATATCATGAAAAAGTCACTTGTCTACAAATTGATTGAGAAATTGCTAATGGATGAAATAACTAGACAAGAGTGTCTGCTTTCAACTAATCCAGCAAATTAAATACCTTAAGAACACTAATTCATTGATGCTGCTTTCCACCAAGTCTACTGGAGTAGACACTCCAGCTCTGGAGTAGAAGTAAGATGTTAAAAGCTATCCAAACACTTTTGAAGGTTGGGCACAGTTACTAAGAGATTATAGATGTCAAATGGGACATCCTGATTGAAAAAAGGTTCACTCTGAAAGCACCCCACTAACTATTGCCTCTTCCAATTTAGTGATGCGCTTCAAAGTTGTGACCATCTTTGTCTAATGAGGGAAATACTGCCAAATCTAGTATAATATGCAATGACAGCATAAAAAAGATGTTAAAGATTTGTTGGAATATATTTCTCCTCATTTAAACCAGCATTTGAAACAAAACAGTTTTGAAGATGTGCATTTATTTTACACTCCTCTCTCTGTGCTCTTCAGGGCAGCCACGGATCACAACACCGATAACACCACAGCCATACTGAAAGAGTGGCTTACAGTCATGCAGAAGTTTTACCATTATGTTGAGTGGAGACCAATGGACCAGCCCACGTAAGTCCAAATATTTTTATGTAGCGAACTATATTTGCAGTAGTGATCTGGGTAAGTAAACATCCTGTCCTGTACCTATAGGTCACGAATAGATCTAAGTAACTCTTACCAAGGACACTTCAGTAGGTGCATTATATGAAGGAAAAGAAAGGAGTAAGCCTACTCCCTCTCTTGTATTTAATCAGGATCACAATCAAAGCTTCCTTCAAGTGTCATTCTGTTGGTGATAAGTTGAATTTACCAAATATATCTGCAAACACTCCAAGTTTATAGTTTAATATTTAAGTTTATTAACACACTTTTGAAGCCTCTAAATCTGTAGTTTACCAATTAGTCGTAGTGAAGAAACCCTCGTTTTCACTTTACATAATGAAGAATGATGCAGCATGCCACTGCTTGTCCACACGTGTAACCTGTGTGGACATACATCTGAGCTGAAGAGGTCATTAGTGGAAATTATTTGTGCATGTCAATTACAGTTTGATTTATCTCTGCTAATCTGCTTACAGTCACTTAACTTTATGAGCTGTCAGTCTAGCTGTTATTTAAGCCGTTTATAGAACAGATTCAGTGTTAACTGTATGTAGAATTAATTTGGGCAATTCAGCCAGATTAGATTGTTACTGAGCCTATAGTAGACTTTCGTCTGTTTAGTATGCATTAAGACTTAGCAAAAGGTATTTCTGGCAATACGCTAGGCTAAAAAAACAAAAACAAGGCTGAACTAAAACTGACATCCATGGAAAAGCATCGTCTCATCTTGTACCGGCTCTGGTGATTAATGCCATACCCGAAATGTTGTGATCCACTAAAGTCAGGCACAATACCAGATGACTAAAGCCCTGTTTTTGTTATCTTTGTTGCCATCTTGACTGTAAGGGAGCCAGGAGGGACAATTCACTGAGATTTGGGAGGGGAGAGGGATGTAGGGAGGGGTTTTATTTTGTGTAGTGTGTTACAAAATGTTCTGAATAAATAAGTGTAAATTCAGAAGTTTGGACTTCTTCTATTTCCTTAGTAGGTTTATACAGTTAGGTGAATCCAGGGTGTTTGTTTGGCATCTTAAAAGAAAACTGAGACTATAACCTACTATATAAAAACACTTCCAAGATTTTTGGTTTGTTTTAATATGTGTAACGATCACAGACTGTATAAAAGAAGTGGACATAGCCAGTGTCACCCATTGGTTTGTGGACTATCATTTTGAAGCCTCAAGTTTGGCGTTTTGGCCTTCTCTGTCTTTTTTGGAACCATAAGTGACCATATTTGGATGATAGGGTGGAGCCAGTTAGCTTGGTTAGTAAGGCGCATCCGTAATTCACGTTAACTGATATTAATTGGGAAGCTTATTTTGGTTTGTGAAAAACAGATGTAAAAGAAAATGTACTTTCTAGGATTTCAGACCTGTTGGACTTACATGCGAGGGTATGAAGTGCTTTGAGAGAGTAATGCTAAACCTACTTAGACTAGAAGTAACTCCTTGTCTTGATCCCTTCCAGTTTGCATATAGGGGGGGACGGACGCCTATGCATGCGTTTTATTTGTGGATTTTAGTTCTGCTTTCTCACGTCCTCACTTGCTCGTTCGGAGGCTTGCTGACATGAAAGTTAATCCTTTAATTATCAATGGTTTTATTCTCTTTTAAGAAACAGGTAACAACTTTAAGTGTAGTGTAAATGCTACACTCTCTAAGGTGAAATACTGTAGTATAGGCGTATCTCAAGGAGCTCCCCTCTTGTTCACACTTTATGCTAATGAGTGTAGAAGTAGTGTGTTCAACAACTATGTCATAAAATTCTCTGATGACACAATCATTTTAAGTTTATTGCATGCTGCCCTTCTACTTATTACAGGGAGATTGATTTCTTTAAGGATTGGTGTGTGAGGAATCATCTCATCCTTAATAATTTGAAAACAAAAGAGATGATATTTGAACCCAGGGAAGTGAGAGCCCACGACAATGTTATCATTGGGGACAGAGAAATCGAGCAAGTTACTTCATATAAGTACTTGGGTATAAAATTAGACAACCGACTAAAAAGAAATGTGCATGTCGACTATTTGTGTGCCAAACTGGCCCAAAGACTGCATTTTCTCTGCAGATTGAGATTGGTAGGGGTGAGTACTAAGATCATGACATTATTTTACAGCGCAGTGCTGGAAAGTCTGATCAGATATGGAATGTCATCCTGGTTTGGCACCCTTACCATCCAATGCAAGACAAAAATTGAAAGACTAATAAAAGCTGCGATGAAAGTTATGGGAGAAAGACTACACTTCACTTTAGACCATCTTCAAAAAAATGGTAGTCTCCCAGGCACAGAAAATTCTGAAGGACCCTTCACATATTCTGCACTCTGAATATGATGTTTTACCTTCAGGGAAACACTATAGAGCTAGCAGATGTAAAAGTAACCACTATAAGCTGTCCTTCATCCCATCTTCCATAGCGCTTCTAAACAATCTGTTCGGAACATGGCGGCTTGAAGCACTTCCGGCACTTTAATTATTTTTAAGCCTAGTTTAATATTGATTGATCGCTTGCACTAGTGTTTTTTATCAACCAGGTCTTATATGAGTTCTTCCTTTTTAATATAGAATTGTGGTGGATGTACTTTAATGTTGATATATTGTTTTCTGCTTTATCTGCTCAAGTGCAATTGAATATAATTATTCATTGGTTTATATCACTCAGGTTCTACTTACCTTGTAATTAATTATTGACAGGGGTATGGTCTCTGATACTTGTGCAATGTAACATAAATGTATGGTGCTTACTGCAGCCTCATTGCAGCACTGCTGCCCAAGACAAATTTCCCTTCGGGGACAATAAAGTTCATCTTAATCTTAATCTTACTTACAGGAAAAAATAATGAATGGCTGACTCCTTAGAGTGTCTTTTTGTACAACCTAACGCAGACAAGACATTTTTAGGCAACCAAAATGTTACAACTTTTGAGCTGAAAACACACAATGAAAGGGTCAATGTTCTTAGACGAAAACACAGACAAAACCCAGAAAGAAGTTCACACCAAGTTAATGTACACAGTGAAGTGGATACGATTTGCCTCTATTGGCTACCACAGCGACATGTCTACCACAGCGTAGCCACAGCCTAAAACAGACCCTGCTTTATCATCTATTTTACTCTAAATGGGACCATAATTTACAAAATTAATAGCTGTACACAGTAAAGTGGATGTGCTGTTTTGCATAAAACTTTAAACTAGTGATTGAGATTTGAGAACTGATTAGGAAGGTATTTACTGAGGTAATAAATCAAGTGAGAAGTAGGTCTTTTTGCTATTAACTCTTATGCAATCAGACTTCTTTTTGCAACCAGTGGAGTGGCCCCCTGCTGGCCATTACAAAGAATGCAGGTTAATGGCAGCCACTGTTCGATCTAAGATTGCGTTGTTGTTCTGTAATCAATGAGCCCCCAGAAACACTCAGCTGTGGCGATGTCTATCATATTTCCAGCCTAATTTTTTTTTTTTGAATTCGGGGTCTGATAACACACACATTCGTCAAATTCAGTGCCCCATATCGCTATTTTCCAAGGTAGTTACTTTAGCTGTCATATGCTGTCGAGCACACTGTCAAGAAGATGAGGGCCACAAGCACTGGTTACAGAAACAGATTTTGGTTGACTGCTTGGTGAAAAAAGGAAGGTTTACATAGCCTTCATACAACAGAACCCTACTACTCATGCTCAAACCCCACTGGCTCACAGAACTGGGGGACTCAGGAGGAAGGACTGCAGTTGGACCTATCTCACCTCCTCTTGCATAGTCAGACCTATCTCCATACAGAAAGTGGGCTTTTAGGGAGGGGGGCCTTAAAGAGACACGAGCTAAAATTGAGTGTTCAAAATAAATAAACTGAGTGTTCAGTGTGAGTGAATAGAGGTGCTACAGCAAAGGACAGTATGAGAAAATTATGTGTTTTTTAAACATTAAAGCATGTTAACATTTTCTTCCAGTTAAAATTAGCATAATATGTGACCTTTAAAATGCTGATCGATTGTTTTCTTGAGAGTTGATAAAATCTTTTTACTATATCATTAATTTTTGCTACAAACCATTCAGCCTAATCCAGTTATCTGAAAATTATGATATATGAGAAAATGGTAACATCAATACAACAATAAACTATAAAATCTGTATCGTTTTTCTCTGTTTAGGTCCTATGCAGGAGAGCTGGGTCCCAAGCACTGGCCCAACAGCAGATATGAGTATGTAATGAAGCTGAAGCAGGCAGCACTCAACTTCGCCAGGAAACGCTGGGCTGATTACATCCTGGTACATAGTAAAATAACCTTTCTTGTGACAGCAGTATAAGATTCATATCAGGTCCCTTGCAAGATTAATCTCATGAGATTTGTTCCCTCTTTGTTGCTGTTGTTTCATCTAAGAAAAGGAAAAGAGACATCACACCACAGTCACTCTGCTATTCTTTTCTTTTTCCCTCTGTCTGTCTGTTTCAGTATGCTGACACAGACAATATCCTCACCAACCCAGACACCCTCAACCTACTGATAGCAGAGAACAAGTCAGTCATCGCTCCCATGCTAGATTCTCAGGGAGCGTATTCCAACTACTGGTGCGGTATCACTCCGCAGGTGAGTGAACTTGATAGCGGCCAGGAAAAGTCAGCCATTACTTTTGAGTTGGACACATGCGCAGCACTCAAAAATGACTAGAAAATAACCTTTTCATGTCAAGATTCCTCTTACACATGCATACCTGCTACTTGCATGATTACCAACCTGTAAGCATTTGTTTTAAAATAAATATGATTTCTTGATTGCATAAAAGAGATTATGTTACGTTCAAAGTAACCATACTTTTTATATTTGTGCTCCCACTCTTACTGTATATCCTAATCCCTCTCTTTCTCAGGGATATTACCGTCGAACAGCAGAGTATTTCCCCACCCGTCACCGCCACAGACTGGGCTGCTTCCCTGTGCCCATGGTCCATTCCACCATGTTGCTGGATTTAAGGAAGGAAGGCATGAAGAAACTGGCCTTCTTCCCTCCTCATAAGGACTACTCGTGGCCATACGACGACATCATCGTGTTCGCCTTCTCCTGCCGGGCTGCAGGTTCGATAGCGATTGCCTGTGGTTTATGTAATCATATAAACTGAAAGACAGGAAGAAAAAAGAATGTCAATGTCTCAAATGTCTCATTCATTCATTCTTTTATTGACTAATTCATCTTTGGTGCTACTCAGAGATACAGATGTACCTGTGTAACAAGGAGCGCTATGGCTACCTGAATGTCCCGGCCAAACCTCACCACACCTTGGAAGACGATCAGCTCAACTTTGTCCATGTCCATCTTGAGTCCATGAGTAAGAACAGACTAATGTACAGGAAGAAAATACATTAAAGCAACAAACAGTGTTTATTTGTTAATCCTCATCTTATCAAACATTGATATGCAAGTTCATTATGTTGTTTTTGTTCACCTATCTATCTATTCTCTCCTTGTCTAACAGTTGATGGTCCTCCCATGCACCACTCACGCTACGTCCATATGTTCCCCAAACAGAGAGACCTCATGGGCTTTGATGAGGTGAGAGACCCTGTTGTTTTTCTGATAAGGATGTAGATATGTTTTATGGACACAGTAATTCCTGATTTATAGATATTCTGTATACATTGTATACGTATATTAGATTGTTTTTCAACCAACATGGTAGTCTCAACATCTGTGGAAAAACACTGTGCCCTAACTTCTTCATTTTTAAGTCTAAATTGATTAAAATAAGGCTAATTATGAAATGGGCTACAAAATAATGAGAGCATAGAGGAACTGAATTTGTTTTAGGCTGTTTTATCATTCAGGTTGTAGTATGTAAGTATGTAACACGTTCCTTTAAGTATGTTTCTGCAGTTTAAGAAAGTGCAGGATATAGACTTGTTTACAGAAGTCAAAGGTGGGAGTTAATTTTATACATTTTAGTTATAACATGCAGTTTACACAGTACACAGTTAAATAACCATTTGTCCATAAATAACCATCCTCTCCTCAGATATATCTGATTAATCTGCGGCGGCGTTCTGACCGTAGAGACCGGATGCTGTTCTCTCTGAATGAGCTAGAGGTTGATGTCAAGGTGGTGGACGCTGTGGATGGAAAGTGAGTGCACTCTCAGGGAAAGACTCAATATAGTGAGAGCACTCAACTGGCTTAGATGGAAAGTGTGTTTTGAGTGTTTCTATGAGAAAGAGAGAAAAATCAATGCTAAAATAGCAGATGCTGACAGAAAATGTATAATGGACAATGGTTGGTGAGAAGGAAAGAAAATTCCCTACAGAAATGCACTGATATATCAGTACCTGATATTTTAAGAAAATTGTCAATGATGGTAATTGCAAAATGCCCTCTTTAGTTTTTATGGGGAACTGAATAAAATGTATAGACCACAACTAAAAAAGGTGGTTGCAGTTCTTATGATCATTCAATTATTTTTGTTTTGTTTTGCTGTTAGCTTGCTTCTTTTCCTCCTCCCCTGTTTACTTTTATTGTTTTCTGTCGTTCAGTTCATTCAGCTCAATTTTTAGTGTACTGTAATTGTGCACAACCAGGTAATTTTCTCATTATGATGGTCATGTTTAAACAAAATACGGTTATAAGTTTAATACTCAAGTTGCAACTAGAGATATCCATTGTGGTGTTCATCGTGGAGTATGTATATTTTCTGTTTATGATGTCAACACTGAGGTCCCTTTGGGAAACAGTAGAAATATGTAAATATAATAATAGAATATCTCTGGGTGTGTGCAGTGCATTGAACAGCAGTGACATTAAGATCCTGGGTGTCGACCTGCTGCCAGGCTACTATGACCCGTTCTCTGGACGCACTCTAACCAAAGGAGAGGTGGGCTGCTTCCTCAGCCACTACTTCATCTGGAAAGAGGTAAGAAAACACACACATTACTCATCTAAGTCTTTATTGGCATGATTGAATAATTAACACGTTATCTCTTGTTTATTTTATCCGTAGTGTAAAAAAGACAATTCACCCAACCAGGCTTTCTGTTTCCTGCGGTGTCCTTTTTTTGTGCTAATCTAAGCCCTCACCCCTCTTTGTCACTGTCCCATGTTTTCTTTCTCATCGTGAATGTTTTTTCCCTCTGTTTTCCTTAACATCTCTGCCATTCTGAAACAAACGTTCCCCCCCCCCCTTCTCCTCAGATAGTGGACATGCAGATGGATAAGGCGCTGGTATTTGAAGACGACGTTCGTTTCCAGGCCAACTTCAAACGACGAGTCCTCAGACTGATGGAGGAGGTGGAGCAGGTGGAGCTAGACTGGGACATCATGTAAGATGGACACGTTTTGTTCACGTGGGTCTTTTTTTAATAGTGGGAAGGTCAAAGGGTGAGGATGGGTAGGTGAGATTATGTCGATACAGTGTCGTCTAAAGCTTCACAAACCTCTCCTGGAGTACCCCTGCTCCAATACAGCTGATTTAAATGATCAGCTTGTTATTCGGCAGTTTCAGGAGTTCATAAAGGGGACTATGTTATGTGTATGTGTGCTGAGGAACAGGGTCAGAAGTCCGAGGAAAGTTGTTAAGTCCAGGAATGCTATGCAGGTCACTCATTTTGTGTCAGTGTCTCTGTGGTTGAGGTTTCCACAGGACACAGAAACAAATGTTTTTGATTGAAATCATGCCGAAATGATTAGACAAAACTTCAAACACAGGATTAAGTAATTTTTAAAATATTTGTCAGCAGAAGGATGAGAAATGTGCCAGCATGTTTTTTAGTGTGTTGTGGTTGCCACGACGATCTGAAAAATGTTAGGCACACATGCAGAACACATGTTGCTAAAAAAGACGACGCTTCAAAAAACACATTTGGCAGCAATAAACCGCAACACTACAACAGATTTCAGTACTCCGATGCTTTGGACGTTGCCTCTTTTTTCGACTATTGTTTTTGTTCTTCTTCGTCCTCCTTTTTTCTCATTCTGGCTTTATGTTACTACAGATACTTTGGCAGGAAGCAGGTGAATCCTGGAAAGGAGGAGGCGGTGGAGAATGTTCGCAACTTGGTAATGGCTGACTACTCGTACTGGACTTTGTCCTATGCCATCTCCCAGCAGGGAGCCCAAAAACTGCTCAATGCTGAGCCACTGTCCAAGATGCTGCCTGTTGATGAATTCCTTCCCATCATGTATGACAAGCATCCCAAGTATGTATAAACAGCACTTACTGCACCGGCAAAAATGTGCAAATTTGTTGAGCATATGCATGCACACCTCATACTTTTCTTGTTTTAATCTTTAATCTTGATGAATATCTTGGTGAAATTATGTACAGTGGTTGTTTCTTATCAATCATTTTCATCAGTCACTTCTATGGTGACTTTCAGTCCTCCGCACTCACAGCCTGACAATCTATAACTGACCTCATAATTGCTAAAAACAGTCTTCCCTATAGTTGCCTAAACATGTATACACGCTATATATTCAGAATAGGTTTTACTACTAAGAACTATAGTTAAGTCTGCGGCCAGGATTTCTATTCTTGTCAGTTTAATATGTAGTGCTTGTCGGGCTCAATTAGAACGCCACATTTCAATGTCGGTCTTTAATCTTTCTCAGCATTTTTCTTTTTATGATGTACAGGTTTCATGGCATGGCGTCTCTTTCTGGGATTGGTTGTCTGGGATTCAGATGTGTTTGTGGCAGACTTGTGCTTAACGTTTAACTTTTCTTTTAATGTTTTTAGCCACACTATTGGTATAGCTTGAGGGATGGGAAAGTTGGCTGGTCTGACGATTGGTTCACCACTTTGGTCCAGAGTTAAATATCTCTGCAACTATTGGATGGATATTTGAAATTCTGGACAGACAGTTGTTGTGCCCACAGGATGAATCCCAACAACTTTGGTGACCATGTTTTTGTTTTTTAGTGAAATGTCAACAATTATTGGAATTGTCATGAAAGCTTGTGCTGAGATTCATGCCTCCCTCAGGATTAATTGTAATTGACATTTGCATCAGCATCAGCTATACGTAGTGTTTAGTTCTAATTAGAAATGTTAGCATGCTAATATGCGAAGATAAGACTGTAAACATTATATCTGCTAAACATGTTAGCATGCCTACACTTTTGGCAATTTTCTCAAAGCATCGCTATTTCTTTTATTCTTATTGGCATGACAGGTGGTCCACCCAAGCGTATGTCAAAACAGTAACATTTGGGTCCTCCAACCAGTCTGAAAAATGTCCTCAGCTCTTCTCACACTAATTCCTTCTCTTTCCCCCTTAACTCACACAAGATGGTTGTTGCTGGCATTTGTAGTTGTTGTTGGTCGTTGGTTTATTCCAAAGGCATTGTGACGTGAATTAACTGTCATCTTCGAAATCACTGCTGTTTTTAAAAAAATACATACTTCACCCGGAGACTATATTGTAATATATTGACCAAATGACTTTTCTCATTATCCCCCAGTTATGATCTAGCAGAGTGACTGAGGCACATGAGGCGCAAAGTGTAAGAGATGAAATGCACCTTGGGGTGCAGGGCCAGCAAACCAGAAGGCTTGGCAGTGTCTGTGTGCTCCATCATGTGTGGAAAACTGGCTTATAGCCAACCCACTTTCTCTATTCTCTCTCGCTTTCTCTCTCACCTCTCTGATTCTAATTCGATATGCTTGACTAGTCCACTAAGAATGCACAACGACTGCACACCACACATTGGTCCTGCTGTCGCCCTCCGTGCTAAGAGTAACTGAACTGTATTTGATAAATCCGCCTCTGTCTCCATCTCTTGTCAAATCAGTGTATTCCAAATGAATAATATATTAATAATAATCACTGATATTATTGATTAACACTGAATTGTAGGAAAAATTTTAAAAGTGCACTAATATTAGGAGTTATATTTTTAAGTGAAATATTAAATACATGTTAAAAATCTATGTCTCAAATTAATAAAACCACATCTATCATCATCTCTTTCACTGTTCTCTCTCTGCAGTGAGGACTACAAGTCCCATTTCCCCAACAGAAACTTACAAGCCTACAGTACACGCCCTCTTCTGGTCCAGCCATGTCACTACGCTGGTGATCCCCAGTGGGTGAGCGACACGGAGACGTCGACTCTGTGGGACGATGACTCTGTACGCACCGATTGGAGGGGTTCCCACAAGACCCTGAAAGGGGCTGCGGCTCCACCCAACATGCTGTCAGCTGCCTACAGGGATGAACTTTAGTGCGGAGCTATGGAGAACCTGCAGACCAAAAGGCCATGAGGTCAGAGAGACAGACGCTGAGAAGCGTCCACTCTGTGTCATGCCATTGACATGCTCAGTGTCATTTAAACTGGACTTTGTATTTTTTTTCAGAGCATGTTAGCAAGTGTATGGTACAAGATGATTTTTTGGGGGGGAAACAATATAAAGGACAGCATTAACAGAGGCTGTTTGAAAAGTAAAATAATGGGTGTTTTCTAACTTGTACAGATGTATTATTAGCAATTCAAATACTTGAACTTCCACAACAAGATTTTTCTAAAGAACAACCCATCCTTTAGATTTTTTTTTTTTAAACTTTATTCAGACATTTTTGATATTATGGGAGTTATGGTTACAGTTTGGGTGGCTGATGTCAAGAGCATTGTTGTTTGAATGTATGCTTGTGATGGTGTGTGTGATAACGGCATGTTTATAATGCTATTTACACAGCTTTTAAAAAGGATACCAGAGAGGCGGCTTTACAAGAACTTTAATGTGTTAATCTGTTGAGAGCCGACTGTGGCCCCAGTAGCTGAATTGTTCACAACTCCTGGCAAGTCAGGAAAACAGTGGATATTAACACAAAGCAAGACTGCCCCAAATTATTATTCAACAATAGTTTTAAAGCTGATGTACCTCATGGTTTCTAGTGACGGTACAAGACTTTCAGTGGTACCAGATTGTATTCAGGAAGTCTTTTATTAGTGAAACTAACACATTGAATGTTTGCATTTAAATAATTTAAGCTTCTTTGACTCATTACACTACATTCTACTTCTACACTATGGCTGTGTTTTAATAATTTTACATTTCACGCCATAGAAATTTGATTTAGATTTTGTGTAATATTTATTTAGCACTCCCAAACTTCCACTAAGTCATCTCTTCCACAGGGTATTCCGTTTTATTTTCAGAAGTATTAAACTGTGTTTAAAGAGAAAAATACATAATATAATTTATTATTCCTATAATAAAACAAACAAATTATTTATACTCCAACTAAGACGTATCTGACGTTAAAGTATTGTAAAAAGCAGTTGACATAATCAAAACCTCACAAAATGTTTACATCATCTCGAATGAATCATCAGTAATCAGAATTTAAGTACAAATGCTTGGCACTATGTTACTGCATAATCACATGACAAGTCAGTGGACACATTTGATGTTTTATCATATATGGTAACTATTTTAGACATAATCCTGAACAAGTAATTTTGGGAGAGCTCAAATATCAACAAAATCAGTGTGGCATGATGAGACGTGAACACTTGTTTGCAGTGAAAGTCTCAGGCGGTAACTGTGGTCTATCTGGTGTTAAGTGTTCGTCCAGTTTTGCAGAATGCTGCTACCTTTTTGGAGGACAACCAGCTACTGTCCCATGCTACATCCTATGTTAAAAATTTCTCCACACACAGCCATATTAAAACACAGCCTTAAATAACCTTTTTTTGTAGCATCACTGGGAATGTGTTGACACTTTGTCTGTACAGGGTTGCTATGCAAGTAACTGATGTTGTAATCCTGATGTCTTTCTGAATTTAGATTACTATGATTAAGTTACACTAAACTTATATTACATTAATTTGTCTTGATAGGCATCTATGATTTTCTGAGTTTATGTATTCATTTTTATCTGTCATGAGTGTTTCTTTTCCTTCAAATGTCTTAATTTATTTGTTGAGTCTTGATGTGATTGATGATGAGTCACACAAAATTATGTAAAGCAAGCAATCAAAGTGCAATGGCTTTCTTTCATAAGCCCCACTCTATCAAATGTCTTTGAGCAATACATTTGTATTAAGATGTTATAAAATAGGATGTTAGGACAACTGTATAGCACACTTTTCAAATGTTATTTTATATATTTTTTTTCCATTGGCTGAATGTGATTATACAGTTTGTTAGTTAATAAACCAAACTTTCTGTGGACAGAAAAGTATCTAAGTATACGTCCATTTAAGAAAAAAAAGACTACCAGATGTTGTACTGACAAACATGCATCACAAGAGTGTATAATATAAATTTTATGTAATAACCAGTTGGACCAGGCATGGTACTATTCCCTGGATTTCAAGAAAGTCTTTAGAAGCCCAGTTGCAGATTTCCATTTGTGAATGGAATTTATATTGTTTTTTAATTTTCTTATTGCTGTTTGCACAAACATAGCACGCACACTTGCGCATGTTTGTGCATATAATGGTGTGTGAGTGTACATGCCATGTTGCACTTAATTTCTAGTTCAGAAACTGTCAACTACACAAAGTTCAAGGTTGGTATAGACCATTTTCTCAATCTTAGACACACACACATACAGTGCATTGGCTGCAACTCCTGTCCAGCTCAAGGCTGTATGAACTGGAGAGAACCCGTCGCAGGAGGGAACCTAAACTCAGGACCTCATTGGCTGCTGGCTTGGAGGTGGGGATTCATGAGATCAACTTGGCAGACGGAAATACCTCAGGGCTACGGACCATACGTTGTCATAATGTTGATTTACTTAGGCAGCGATATTTCAGGGTTTTAAACTGTTCTTCTCTTGTCCTTTATTACCACTGCAAGATCACCTTGACTATGTATCTAATGCCTCACACATGCAAACTCTGCATACGTCACGTCCTATGCAGAACTGTTCTACTTCTGCTTTGTTAAGTCTCTGGACCTTGAGGGCTCTCAACAACAGCTGCTACCCTGACATCCGCCACACAGTTTATATAATTGAATCTAAATAGAGCAAACAACAATTTGACTGCTTCTGCAATTCTCCTTTGAGAATATTTTGAGGTGCTTTGCCCTCTAATAGAGAGGCTCCTCACGGCGGAATGGGGCGGGGTCAGATAAAAGGTGAGATTGGATTTCTGACCCCTCCCTGTAACTGTCCTGATTGGATTGCCCTTCCCTTTCCTTCAACCACTGTCCACACTCCAGATTAGTGGGTATTCCACCTGAAAGCTATTTGCCAAACATAAAAAAAAAACAAAGAAAGAGGATAAACAAAAGCACAAGGCAATGCTCCTGGTCCCACCCGGGGAACACAACCCATTGCTTAAAAACCTGTGCAAATCACACCACACAATTAAGAGCTATCCATTGAGACGTCAGAGGAGAACCCTTGGCCCTCCATGTCCAGGTCCATGGCAGACAAAGATTTCCCAAAAAACCTGTTGTGTGACGAGAAATCTCAACCTAGCCAGCTGCGATCGCACCCCTAAGGTGTGACTGCTGTCAAACAGGTCTGCAGAGATGCAAAATATCCTCCTGGAGGCAAGGACAGGGGTTGATGGCAGGGGTCTTCAAGCAAACGCATGAACATATGCAAAGCGGAACCACTGGACCTGGGAGATCTATGTTACTCGGCTTCTCTCCGAGCTGCCAAACCATACAATGGTGTTCCAGGACGGCGTGAGTTACAGAGAAACCCCCCTTGAATCTGCTTGAAAGGACAGGACTTAAATCGTCTGTGGGCATTGCCCATAGTTGATTCAAGAGTCATGCATCTGTACCAGTTGGCATTCGGGGCCCTCTGGTGCCACTACTCTGACTCGCAGGCACTGACAGCTTGCTCCACTCTTGCGACAATGTGAGAATTGCCCTGGTGCGTGCAGCTTTCTGAGATTTCACTCTCAATGAGTAACAGTATTAGTGAAATCGTTCATTTAATCACAAAAAAGATTTTCCTCCTGAGTAATTGGTGAAATTTCACAAACAACAAGTCTGAATTTGTGTTAAAAAAACTTCCTACCTGCTTCTTGCTCTTCAGGGGTTAAGAGGGACTGTCCAATTGGCTTGCCATCCAACTTATTCAGCTTGACCAGCAGACACCAGTAAGCCTGATTGGGTGACCAGAGTATTTCTACTTTTACTTATGTACAAGATCTCAGTACATCCTATGGCAACTGTACTCAAACCAGCTAAGGTCAGCTAAAACCAGCAACCATTGAAACCGGTCTGTGCTGTTTTTTTCAGACATGATATGTTGTTTCTTCACAAAATCCTTTTTTGACTGACCTAATTTGTGAGTTCAGTGTACAGTATTTTAAGAGACGGGTCCGGAGGGGAGGGGTGAAGTCAGGAACTGTTCTGCAGTAGGCTACGCTACAGCTCACGTTATCTGCAGCTACGGAACTGCACCTCCCGGACCACACTTTAAATAACTGTAATTTCTAGTATAGGCCTGCACGACTGTTTTTTTCGCGACTACAACCCCGCCTGCAAAGTGTTTTCTCGCCTACCTTTTTAGATCTTGCATCGAGCGTAGGCTACTGTGACAGGCGGAATCGAGAGTAAGTGTGCATGTGGAAACCAATCTGCTCTCATGCTGCAACAAAGTTATTGTTGAACGTGGAGGTTTGGTAACGTTGTTATGTATCACGTGCTTGTCGGTGTGATTTCTCACATGTTACGTATATGCCCTGTCACCGGCTGTAGCTGCTCAGGCAGTTTTTGTTATTTTGGGACGTGGCGTTTACACTCAAGTGCATGCAGTCTGTCAAGTGGGACGGCGCGGTTCAGTTATCGCCTACACGTTAATATGCATGGTAGGCCTTTCGTTTATCCACAGTGAAGTTTGCGGCGATGTTTTTCAAATCTTCCTCCTCCTCGTCTCCCAAGTTACTGGAGGTTGCCAAACTACAGAAAGGGCAAATTGTGAATGGGGACTTTTATACCTTGACGGACAACCTGTCATTCACACACACAACGATGGCGGCTGGCCCATCATGCATAGCCTACTCATCTAATTAGCGTAAAGGAATGCATCTCTGTATGTACGTCCGTCGACAGTCGTTCATCTGATCGGCTTCATTGTTGCTGAGATGGTACGGGACATATTTATCATCTCCACTTGACATAAGCATGGAGGGGATCGTGCGTTTGTCTAGGTCAATACGCAGCTCTAGCATAGACCTACTACTGGATCTTTTTTGTGCGCACAAAAAAATAAAAAATAAAATAAATTATTGATTGAGACTGTATCATAAAGGCCACATTTTGGCCTTTATAAGATAGGCTCAGTGTTGTGGCCTCAAAAACTAACATCCTTAAAGTTTTGGTCTCACCGGAACATCTGCTGATAAATTCCATACCCGATATGTTTATGATCCAACAAAGTTAAGCAACATATGACATTGATAAATACCTGTTTTTATTATCTTCGAGTTGAGTTTAAATCCTTTGTTTGGGAGGGAGGAGGGAAGTAGGGAGGGTTTTATTCTAAATAAGCTACAAAATGTTCTAATAATTAACAATGTTTAAATTCAAAAGTTTGGATTCATCATCCCATTTATTGTTTTCTCACTGAAGGGAAACTTAGGACACTCTTTGTGGACCCTATTTCCCCATGTTTATGTGTGCGAAAATGGCCATGTAATGCAGTATCTGGGGGAGTTTGCATACATGATCAGCCCTATTGTTAAAATCCCAATTTAATCTTTTTTTAGTTATAATGGGACACTGAACTAAGATCTTTATAGAGGACATTTGTTTTTTATTTTGTTCAGATTGCAGCCATCTGCTTACTTAGCTTGGTGGTACAAATCTAGGACATCAATCAAAGCAGGTGTTCTCTGACTGGAACTAGAGTTTAGTAACCTGTTAAAAGCCACCGGTTTTACCTGCCCTTTCTTTAACCTTTGTTCCATAGTTTTTATAAAATAATGCATCCATTTACTGTAATGGGACACAAACCTTGTATTTGAATATTTAATTACTATAAATACAGCTACACACTATATAAGTAGTAGCCTTCGGCAACCAGAAATCTCAGTTACAGAATATACTGTATACATATGAGTCATGTCATCTGTCATGTAGTTTATGTAAATACATTTGAAGCTACTTGCATTGTACATGACTTTATTTTTAATATTGCTTATTCTGCACATACAATCCACATACGCTTCAGCAACATGACTCTGTCCCTTTGTGTCTGCTGACTGCCAACAGGGGCCATGGCCTTCCTAGGGAGCGCAGTTCGCCGTGTGGTGTCGACAGTGTGGCCTCCTGTCTCTCCCTTGTGCCGGACAACCGCTCGGTCCTACAGCTCAGAGCCCACCAAGGAAAAAAGTGTCCCCTATGAGAAGACACTCAAACAGGAGGGTGGAGTCTCCTCTGGACCCACTAAACCTTTACCCAGGTTAGCTTAGTGGATGAATGGATGGTGTATAATGTGCTGTAAAAGTGACTGTTGACTTTCAGTGGTTCTTGCAATGTAAGACCAGCTTCTGTTTGAATTCTTACATCATGATAAGATGATTTAGTTTTAAGAATATAATAATTTCGGGGGGGGAGCTTCATAGCAGTATTTTAACATTTTGCGACCTATGTTTTACTTTTGTGCCAAGAGTTTGAGTTTGAAGATCAATACCACTCTCATATCTGTAAGTTAAATATGAAGATACAGCCATTAGCCAGTTAGCTTAGCTTGGATGAATTGAACAAATGAGAGACATGTTAGTTAGTGTACTTTAGAGGTGCTGGTAGGAAGCTTTTGTTATTTAGTGAAGGGTGTCACGGGTTTGATTTTTAAGTGGTTCATCTGCCATCTGCCTCAGGTCAGCGGATGTGGTGGTGATCGGAGGAGGCAGTCTGGGCTGTCAGACCATCTACCACCTGGCTAAAATGGGGATGACCAACGTAGTTCTGCTGGAGAGAGACAGACTGACTGCTGGCACCACCTGGCACACTGCAGGTAAAAAACTGTAAGAATATGGACAGGCCTAAGGAGTGTGAATATACCTAAAATTATGAGCATCAAGTATTATTAAAATTAATATGTTTTAATTCAACATTAGTATCATGGCTCCAACTCATGTAAAATATCCTTACAATGAGTAAAGAACTGGGTTAGTTCTTGTTGGTTTAACAATAAAGCCAAATTTTGGTACCTTCTTGTCGGTACCTCTAAAAGAACATTTCTGCACCCCTAGTGACAAAAATGTACCTTTACAATTATTAATTTAGCTGACACTTATCCAAAGAGACGTACAATTGTTATATATATCAGAGGTCACACACCTCTGGAGCAACTAGGGGTTAAGTGTCTTGCTGAGGAACTCATTGGCGGATGTGTCACAGTGGAAATTGAACCCGGGTCTCTCACACCAAAGGCATGTGTCTTATCCACTGTTACATTGCCCATTTATTACCTGGTGGCACGGGATCACTGATTTTCTGCGTCATTTGCCTGTAAGCTTGTTAGAAGTACAATTATGTACCCTTTGCTATCATCAATGATTCTGTACCTTTAAAAATTAACAAAGGTCCACGGTTAACACCTTAAGGACGATTTCCGTACCTTACAGGGTACTTTTTTGAAAAATGTACCTTTAGGGAACAGAAATGATACCCCTATTTCTCTTTGTGTACATGTGTGTTCAAACACTTTTCAGTACATGCTTTCCTGTATTTTTCTGTCCACTAGGGCTGCTGTGGCAGCTCCGTCCCAGTGATGTTGAGGTAGAGCTCTTGGCTCACACCAGGAATGTGATCAGCAAAGACCTGGAGGAGGAAACGGGTCTCCACACAGGCTGGATCCAAAATGGAGGACTCTTTATTGCCTCCAACAAGCAAAGGCTGGATGAGTACAAGCGCCTCATGTCGGTAAGAATCCAGATTGCTTGGATATCATTGTATTGACAGATAAAGAAATTAAAGGCTTATTATGGGACACAATAATTGTATAGTGCTAAGGTGGATTTTGGTACTGGTGGATTGTATAGGAGAATGAAGTATAAAACTGGTGAGGAAATGCCAACAATTGAACAAGCTTATCAGATAGAAATAGAAAATATTTTATTTCCTTTATTTTTTATCAACATAATTAATTAATATGAATAATTTCCAGTGTTAACACATGTCAGAAAGCAAAAATGTTTGTTTGATGATTCCTCATCAAACAAATAATGCTTGGTGCAGAGGGAGATATCAAACTGGCTAGCACTTCCTAATGCTAGGCTACATACTGAAAGTATTACTGACTACTCAGTTATTTAAATATGTAATTAACTGGCTTATAGCTTTAAATGTTTTCATAGCAACAGGGGTCATTGAGTCCACTACATTAACAGTTTTTTTCTAAGAATGCAAAAAGACTTTGGACAGAAGAAGCATTACTGTGACAGCAGTAAGGCATGATGTATTCAAAATAACTTGAGGTTGAAACAAATTGGATAAGAAAATAACTCAACTACTGCAACTACTCATCAGGGATTTAAAATGCAGTTGATATTTGGGTCTATTATTGCTCAACACCATGGTGGCACATGGCCAAGGAAAGGCTTTGTTTACCTCAAGTATGTGTGTCTGGTGTTCGAAGTTCACTTGAAACGTCACCTAATCATTACACGGTATGAAAACTAATCCAGCCATGAAAATGCAGTGAACATGTTTAGATGTTAATCCTCAGTCAAAACCTAGCTAATGATCTGCTACTTGTGACTGTCACGCTTCAGGCAGCTGCTTCACAGTGAGATAATCAGATCTGTTTGCTTGAAAGCTTTTACTGTGAAACGCATGTAGCTCATGTCTCATTTGATGTAGAATTAAGGTGATGTAACTGATCTTAAAATGAAAACATCCCTCTCATGCAAGACCTTAACCAATAAAACATGCCATCTCCCCATATTTCTAGCTGGGTAAAGTTTATGGTATTGAGTCCCATGTGTTGTCACCTGCGGAGACCAAGGACCTGTATCCTCTGATGAACACTGATGATCTGTATGGGACCCTGTATGTACCAAAGGATGGCACCATGGACCCAGCAGGCACCTGCACCACCCTGACCAGAGCTGCCTCCGCCAGGGGAGCCACGGTAATGTGTGCTGGTCCGCTGACTGGTGGTGACACAGTGTTTTGTTCTATTAAATGGATATACATCACATACTACAGTGGATGCACAAATTTGTAAATGCAGTCTAGTCAACCAAAATCTCTTATTCTTTGTAAATGGTAGTTTTTAGTAAGCTTTAGTATTTTAAGAAAAGCAGGTGTGCCAAAAGTATAGTAGCTTTTGTTACACTGCAATTAAAAGTTTATACAGTTGTCTGCATGTGATTTAAGTTTCAGTTCAGTTTAGTTAATCATGTTACATAATGTTAAATGTCCGGATATATTAAATCCCACCCATTTGAATGCTGCAAATAGCTTCAAAACAAATGCCAGAAATAATACAGTACAGTAAATAAGGTTTAACCTTTTTGTTAGGATAATTTCGATAGTTCGAAATACCTTTGTCATGCAAAAGAATTCTTAGCTGGTGTCAAATTTTTTGTGTGTGACTCAACCTGGTACACCCTTATCTGAACAAGATCTAGTGTAGATACGCAAGTTATATCCTTGTGTTCGGCTAAATATTAATTGCTCTTTCGATCAAATGACTGCTTGAATGGCAGTAAATATAACTCACAATACCATACCTTTTTAATCTAATCTATTGCCTATCAAAGACCTTCATATTTATGATGGATCATTTTCATCAAAACTAGGGTAAGAATTTAGAGAGACAAAATGTAGGTTTTGCATATACACACTTTTTGGCCTCATGAAGATTACTTTCTGGGTAGATCATCATGGTAACTGAGACTGCACAGCTGCTGGGAAGCTGCTAAACTCAGGCTACCAGATCCAAAAATACTGTCCTAAAAATGAAAACTAAATAACTAATAATTTTTCTCAAACAATGAGATGTCACAATTCCTAGATTACTTTTATTAGCAGTACGATGCAAAAGCACCTTGAAACCACTGAAACCATGTGATATGTGGAAGACTGTATATTGTACTGTTTGTTTAGCTTAGATTGCTGTGACATGTGGAGAACCTCTGCTCTTTCGTGTGCTGTTTGTTCTCAGAGAATTTATTTGTGTATATCACATATTTTAGCATTTTACAGTAGTTTACTCTATGGTAATCTATGGAATTATGAAAATATGAACAGGATTATTAGGATAAACCCATACCACTGCCACAGCAGAGTTAAAGAAAATAAGGCCACACTAGAAAACCTATTCAGAGCCTCAGTGAGCAGATATTAAAAGGGCTGTAATATTATCCAGTTGATTTACTGTACAAATCCTCTGTACATTACATATATCCAAAGCATACATTATCTCCATGTTGCATGTGAATAACTCCACGTTGTCTTCTTCAATCAGGTGATTGAGAACTGCCCTGTGACTGGAATCCAAGTGCGGACAGATGAACTTGGTACGAAGAAGGTAAAAGCAGTGGAGACCCCTCATGGGACCATTGAGACTTCTTGTGTGGTGAACTGCGCAGGTGAGATTTAAACAAGATCAAAACCACAAGTTAAAAGCATTTTGGTTTTAATTGACATGTAAAATATATATTGTGCCATGTACATTTTGTGATGTGAGACACTGTTGATGTGACTCAGGTAGATATTAGGAGCATCTCCCTGCTGTTTCACGTATGTCTTGTAAAAGTGAGATTTCAAAGAGGTTTAATACTGAATGCAAAAGAAGCAGTTTGGTATAATGTTACTGGTGTCTTTGCTCAAATTGCATTGATCCAGAATTAAAGGTGGAATTTATGTGAAATTATGGTCCCTGTGTGTTGCAGGTGTGTGGGCCGCCAAGCTGGGGGAAATGGCCGGAGTCAAGGTGCCTCTTATTGCGATGCATCATGCATATGTGGTGACAGAGAGAATTGAAGGCATACAGGTACACAGTCGGACTGCCATCTGTCATATCTGAACAGCTTGACTGTGGTTCATGACATATTATGCTAAAATAAAATCAACCATTGGCACACAATTCTGTAGGCCCTGATGGTATGCTGGTAAATGGCAGGTATGCCTTTCATATTTTATTGCATCTAAACTTTTCTTGCCAACATGTTTTATAGTATTTTTTTTTTTTCTTTTTATTCTCATCAAGCAGCATGTTGCCAACAATGTATAACCCTTCAAACAAGAATAATCATCAGTAACCACGATACCTGATTATATGTGTAATTACACAACTACTTGGATAGGGTGAGATAGATAGAATTTACTCTTCATTTAATTCCTGGTAGAGAGAAATTCCTTCATCTGCCTGTATTAAGTCTGTATGACCAACAGGGGGCACTGTGACACTATAGATTTCCACCTGTCATGGTCCAGACTGCTGTTAGTGAATGTCGGAATGTGATGTGTGTGTTTGTTTGTGTAAGAGAGAAAATTGATCGTTTTGTTTGTATCCTTTAATGCTAATAATGTGTGTATTTTGGGGGTACATTGGTGAGCCCTAGGATGCAGATATAACACAGGTCTGACATGGATAGTAAATGATCCGCTGTGGCTCTGTGATTGTGGACCATGCGGGTGTGCGTGCACGTGCGTGTTAGATTTAGTCATTGTATACATGTATAACTGTGGTCATCCTCTAGAGGCCGGCGGTTTAGTTGTTTTCTGCCAGCCGTCATAGCTTCCCTGTGTTATGTAGTTTAAGAGCAGCTTAACCAGCATTACTGCTACATCATGTACACAGACATCAGCCCACACACACAAAATGACACTCAGATTCCATCAGGGAATCTGTTCCTATGAGGGTGTGCAACTTGTCAGGTCAAACATCTCATGTTGACCCACATGTCTGTGTGTGAATAGATGTGTTTTGAGACTGCAGTGGAATTAAAATTTAAAAAAGTACCAAGCTTGCTGATAGTAACTGGTTTATATTTTTTATCTGTGTGAGCACACGTATGCCAGAGTGCTCAGTATTGATCACATGGAGCGAGCTGCCAGACCGTATTCAGCACAGAGCAGTTTGGCTTTTATTATATATGTAGTGCGCCGTTTCCCAAATGTCAGCTTGTTCACTGGTATTTTGATTTTGTACCCAGAGAGCCAATTGACTTTTGAATGAAAAGCATTTGTGACAGAATGAATGCAAATGACAAAACATACAGTAGGTGTAACCATTAGACACTCCCACAAGAATGTTTACTGTGATTCAAGGGGCTGAATGCTTCTCTCTGCTCTGTTCTGAAAGAGGATTTCATGGTATGTCAGTAGCTGCCATACCACGCATAAAGAAATTATATGGTTTGTTAAGGTATGTGCCACTGGTTATTATGTCCCGTATTGAAGACCCTGTTCTGTACATACCAGACACACTGAATGTGAGAATCTGGGTTCCAAAATTTAATTAAATGAACCAAGAATTGTGATAACGTTTGATTAATTTTTTTATTTTTTATTTTAGGATCATTTTAGTCCATTATCTGATAAAACTACCACATGTTTACTGGTACAGCTTCAAATATGTCGCCATCAACTTGCCTTACTTTGTGTCATTATGAGTGAATAGTATAATAGAATTCTAGCTGCCAACCAAGCATAGTAATGTAGATAAAGTTTGAAACTCTAGTAACTGCATTTGCTGTTATGATTGGTAAATCAATTGATGAATGAAAAAATGAACTTTTCTTTTTACAAAGATCCAGAAAATCCAGCCATCCTTTTGTTACTAGAACCCAATGTTTCTAATTCGCATTTTTGAATTTTTCCACTTAACTCTTTGCAGAACATGCCAAATGTCAGGGACCATGATGCATCAGTATACCTGCGCCTACAAGGTGATGCTCTGTCTGTGGGTGGTTATGAACACAATCCCATCTTCTGGGATGAGGTAAGCTTAAAAATTGGCTGAACTATGAACAGTTTCATTTCTGGGTGCCTGAGTGAGAGCCCTGACGCGACATCTGTCTTGTTTGATGTAAAATCAAATACTTCAGTTCTGAAACTGAATAAAGTTTAATCCAGTTTATATACTTCTTTCTCTCTGTTAGTTTGACCTCATCTCTTATTTAGTCTGTTTTTCTTTCCCTTGTCTTCATTACTTGCTGCTGTATTAGCTTGGAGGTCAAACCGTATTCATAACAGTGTGTGTGTGTGTGTGTGTGTGTGTGTGTGTGTGTGTGTGTTCACTAATATTTCCCACAGTGGTGGAAGGAAATATTCAGATCATTTAATCAAGTAAAAGTAGAAATATTATAATATAGAATTACTTTCAGAAGTCCTGCAATCAGAACTTAGTAGAACATAAGTAAATGTACAGTAAAGTGTTATCAACTAAATGTAACCATAAAGAAAAAGTTTGCCATTTTTGCAAATATGCATAATTGCTTTCATGCAAGAGTTGGATGAGAAGATTGATGCAACTCACGTCTGTAGCCAGGAGACAGCTAGCCTAGCTTAGCATAAAGACTAGGAGTAGGAGGAAACGGCTAATCCGGCTCTTTCTAAAGTCTGTCAGCACCTCTAAAGCTAATAACCACGTTATATCTGGTTGGTTAATCTGTATAAAAACGGAAGTGTAAAAATTACAACTTGTAGTTTTACATGGGGTTACGCTAAGCTAAACTTGCCTCCTGCTGGCTGTCGGTTTAGAGTACAATCACGAGGCTGGTGTCAAAGCTCTCATTCAATCTCGGCAAGAAAGCAAATAAGCATGTTTGTGTGGAGTGTGGAGTCAGATTCGGGATGTTTTTATGTTAGCTAAACATGAAGACTGGAGGTGGGGGAACGGGTAGCCTGGCTGTGTCCAAATGGAAAAAAATACATATTGTTTCTAAAGCTGACTTATTTGTACAGTGTATAATATTTGTTTAAATCTTACATAAAGAGAAATGTAAAAATGACAATTTGTGGTGGGTGGAGTTAGTTGAAATTAGAGTGGTATTAATCATTTCATCCAACTCTCTGCAAGACCAAATAAGTGTATTTCCCAAAATATCTTTATATAAATAACTTTTCTAGTATCCAAATTTAAAGAAGTCACTATGCAGAAAATGTTAGATCACCCATCAAACAGTATACTGTAACTGGTGGTGTATTGAGGCAAGGTTGTTATACTGAATAGATAGAGATGAAAGTGTTTTCCCTAACTAATGAGTGTGTTAGAGGTTTTGGCTGGGTACTATGGGTCAAATTAAATACTTTTTCAATTCTGACCGAATAGTGTCCACTTGCGCTTAGCCAGTATTTATTAGTATCGAAATGTAATACTGAATACTTTTCTCTAATACTTTTTTTTATCGAAAAACATACTCAGCAAGGTAAGTTATCAAAAAAGTGTCTTATTGCCCGCATACTAGTTATTATAATAGCGTAATACATGCTCCCAAAAGAGATAAACCCATTTGATTTTAATGACCCCATTGCTGGTCGTTTAGCACATTATATTCTTAGCATCACTACTGGTGAAATTGCTTTTATTGGAACATGAAAACCAAAGCATTCCTGTAAAAGACTGAAATTATAAAAGGCTGTGATGGCAATTCATTCTAACAACTCTTTGGCACCTATAAAAAGTAATCATACAGCCAGTTATTTCATGCACACACTGACTATTTAAAGGGGTGGTTGACTTTACAGATTGATCTTTATAAAAGCCTGTGAATCGACAGGTGGTCTTAGTCTTCGTGGATGTGAACTTTCTCTCAAGGATAGGTTCTACTATTTCATTACATATCATGCACAAACCCGGCACATTGCACGTATTTGTTGTTAATTTTAAATTTTTGTTGTTGTACATTTTTATATTGTCAATTTATATATTTATGTACAAAATATTCTCTTCCGTTGCAATACGTCTGCACAACGCAAACCCAGAATAATACACGTGTAAATATCTGCGACTTTGTCCTCTCTCTGCAAATAGTTGTATTATTTTTCTCTATTTTCTTTATTATTCTTATATAACTTGAATTGTCTGTTCCATATTTATATATTTATTTATATCAACTGTTTGTTTATCTACGTGTAGTACCTTATCACCAAAGCAAATTCCTTGTATGTGTAAAACTCTACTTGGCAATAAAAGTCCTTCTGATTATAGTTTGGTTTGTTAACTGGGATGGAAGGTTTAGAGGCAGCCATCTCTGCTCTTTTTCCTGTCCTGGTTCTCCACACTTATAACTTTTCACTTCTCATGAATTTCCTGTTTGATTTATACATTTATTCCTTTACATCTGTGCTGGCATAGTTCCAGGATTAAATTGCTGTTGTTTAGGAATGAGCCATATCTAAAACTTTGATGAAATGCATTTAGGTGGTAAAACTTGTAGAAACAATCCAAACAGAAGACATTTCTGTCTTAAAGATATTATGCCCCTTTCCACAAATTGAAAAATATTTAGTCTCAGTTTTTATGAAAGGCTTCAAACAGGGTTTTTGCAGGTCACTGATATTATCTTCTTGGCTTTATGACTTTCTGTCTTTCCGTCTGGCTGCCTGCCGTCTCTAGACTCCTCAGTGGCTTTACATTTTAGAGGATTTCTTTGTGCAGAAGCAGCGTCTTTTGTTCTCGTTCTGCAGCTGAGCATTGCTTTGATGTCTTGAGGCGGATGGAGGAAGAAAGTGGAGATACAGAAAGGAGAATTAGCAGGGAGACAGAGAGAATAGAGGATGCTGAGTGAGTGAAGATTGATGGCTTGGGAGGGATTGAGAGAACTGTGGTGTCTAGGCTCCTCCGATACTCCAGTTGAGTGTCGGCGCTCGGTAATAGTGCAGAAACTCTTTGTTCACATGAAAGCAGCCACTGTCAGCTTGCACATCCCTGTGACGTTCAGGTCTTAATCAAAATTATCCTCACTGACACTAATTGTAAAGCCAAAGGAACTCCTTTCTCCTTCAGCAATTTTGTCTAACTACAGATTTCTAACTTAAAGAAAACTTATGTTTAACATATTTAACTATTTAGGGTGTAAGTTGAGCCTGTTATTCAGCGTGATCGTACTGCAATGACTCAGAAAAGCAGTCACTGTCTGAATGTAAGAGATTGACTGCTTTTCTGTGAGCCAGGATAGAGTCAAGTTAGAATGGAGGGATAACCGGATCAGTGCCAGGATATAGGGAGAAATATACATGAGTGATAAAATTACTGCACAGAGCATAAGCTGGTGTGCTGGACTCAATTTGAGCACCCTGAGTCAGTCAGATTAGTGTAGGAGGGGAGAATTTTAGGCGAGGCGGTCTGCACTGCTCAGCAGGAGTTGTAGGAGTTAAAGGCTCCATTTTTGCTCGACTGATGAGGGAGTTACAGGAGTCCAGATGGGCGCAAATTAAAGCTTGGACAAGGAACTGTGAGGGAAGGGTGTGATTTGCCAGATGTTGATTCCCTGGTGAGAAGGCGTCGATTCAACAGATGCTACAGGATTGCGTGTTGTGGCTGCAGTGTGTCTACTCAAACAGTTGGCTGGTCTACAGTCACATGTGCTGACTTAGAGTGAAGTCGCTGTGTTCTTGTCAAAAGTGATGAGGAAGAAAAAGGAAAAAGAGCACATCAGTCTTGACATGACATTGGCTTTGACATGGTGCACCAACATCGAACAGTCCACTGCAGGAGTGGATTGTAGTGATTCATTATGTGTGAAATGGTAACAAGCCAGAGCTGAGGATCTTTGGTTTTTAAAGTGCCTATAATAAATATTTTTGTAATAACAATGATAATGACAATGTGAAAGGGGTACCCTTTCTGTGACTACTGTACTACTGTTGCTACCATGTTTGTGATATCAACTTTAAAGGTTTAAATGTAGAGTTTACAACTATGTTTCCGCATCTATAGTTACTGCAGTTTTTTTTTTAAATCCTGGAATTCATCTTTGTTTGTTTTGAATAGTTAATAATCCTTGGGTGGACTTGATCAGTCACTAATTTGCATTTTTTCCCCACAATTTTTCATTTCATTTTTTCTCATTGGAAGAAAAAAATCCCAACATGGGCAGCTGTTTCTAAGAGTGTCACACTTGTCTTTTGGCAGTATTAGAAAACCAAGTCCTCGTATACATTTTTGCTTGACAGGAAATAAGTAACTCTTGCATTGTGTTTCATTTTCCAGGTGTCTGATAAGTTTGCCTTCAGCCTGTTTGACTTGGACTGGGATGTATTCATGCAACATATTGAGGGTGCAATCAACAGAGTTCCTTGTCTGGAGCAGACTGGCATTAAGTCCACTGTCTGTGGACCAGGTAAACACACACACACACACACACACACACACACCAGTTCTGCAGAAGCATAACGTTTTGTGAAGATCCTGCAAGCCCTTCTTGCACATTTCTTATAACATTATGCATTACAGCAGGAACAAGCAGCTTTCATGACACTTCTTAAATTGAACACATTCTAATTTAAAAGTGAAATGCATCCGTCTGTGAAATATTTTATGCACTGCTCCCATACTGCATTTGCTCATGAATACCTAAAGCAGCACGCTATGTGTCATGTTTGTAGACGAGATAGTTTGATTAGCTCCAGCCTGACTTCATGTCCAGGCCATATAACGTTGCCGAAGCGGTTGAGTGAGCCGGTCTGTAGCTGCGCTGCCTGAGGAGTTACAGTATTGAATTGGATTTTTCGTCATCATACTGTGATGCAGTTTTCTGGAGAGTCGGAATGATTTTGAGTGAAACAGCTGAAACTTGCTTTCACACAAACAAACAGTTGAGCATGAACAGAGAAAAGTAGAACCGGAGATGGTAATAGAGATACAGTCATGGCCAAAAATATGGGCACCCCTGCATGTCTGTCACATAATGCACTACTTCTCCCAGAAAATTGTCACAATTACAAATGCTTTGGTATTCTCATGTTTATTTATTTAGTTTGCATTGGAACAACACACAAAACAGAGAAAAAAGCCAGATCTGAGACATACACACAGAATTTCAAAAATGGACTGGATAAGATTATTGGCACCCTCAACTTAATATTTGGAAGCACACCCTTTGGAAAAAATAACTGAAACCAATCGCCACCTGTGACCATCAATGACTTTCTTACACTTCTGTACTGGAATTTTGGACCACTCTTCGTTTGCCAGCTGCTCCAGGTTTTAGAGATTTGATGGGTTACTTCTACCAACTGCTGTTTTGAGATCTCTCCACAAGGCGTTCTATGCAGAGGTGCCCATATTTTTGGCCAAGACTGTATAAAGAGAGAAAAGGAGAGATCAAATGTAGGCAATGGCAGAGACAAAAGGGAATACAAAAAAAAAAATGAAGGTCAGAAGTCAAAGACCGAGCTCAGTGGGACAGGAAGATGAAGGAGATAAAAATTAGAATTTTATCAATCCCATTGTTGTTGGAGAGCATCTCCTCGCCTGTGACACTCGCTTTGAGGCTAGCTTTTGTTTCATTTCAAGTGTTGTGCTTACAAGTACACCACGTTGCGCATTTAATTTTCATAATGAGCTTACTGAGTCCTCAACCATTTCCGTGGGGGCAGATTTGGATGAATAGAGCAGAAATCTGTTATTAGTTCCATGAGTACCTATGCCCTCAAGAGGATATCAAACGCACAGTAGAACACATACAGTAAAAGGTGTCTTGGTACTCTTGAAAAGGTTGGTTTAGGATTAAGGTCGGAATTACAATTAATTAGAACAGAAGTTGAAGGTTAAACATGTTTTTTTGGCATATTCAGCAGTAAATTGGATGTGGCTGTTGAACATCTTCACTTCACTAATTATATGTATGCACTTAATTTTTTCTCTCGTTATTACCAGTGTTGGGCATCAAAAATGCAATCAGTTCATCATTGAAAAATGTTTTATGCCTTTTAAACAAGTCTCCACACCCACTTATTAAAAATGTAACGCATGCGGATATACAAAATGAGACAGGGATGTTTTAATAAGCAACCGGCCCAAAGTTACTGTTTGGAGGTATTTACTGACCATTAATTGTCCCCTGGTGACTACACCCTTACCTATATAACTATAAACAAATCTAGCTAATTCCTGAATATTGGCAGACCTGTTACTATCATTAGCAAGACAGTGGAGAACACACAGTATCTTTGTTTGTTTGTTTTTTTTTTAAAACCTGTCCTGCCCAGCAGCCTGGTATAGAGTATAATGACCTGGATACCATATTGTGCCAGACAGATTTTACTTTAACAAGAGAGTATTAATATACACCTTTGTCTGTTTTATTATTTATTTAATTATGTATTGATTTGTCACCGGGCCGGACAGGGGGCAGACACGGGGATTGGGGGGCACAAACAATAAGCACAGAGAAAGGACAAGATCTGTAAGAGAAGGGTAAAGGGGGATGGAAGGTGGGGACAACAGGGAAAAGCTGTGGGAAACACCAATTGCAGAAAGCAAAGAAACCTGCAATAGAACAGAGAGGGGGGCTTGGGGAGGAGAAAAACAACAACAAACAAACACAAACAAACAACAAAAATAATAATAATAGTAAAAGACAACCAGCGAACAGCAGCAATAAACAGCTGACATAGTAAGACAACTAAGAGAAAAATGAAAACAAGAAACAGTCCAGCACACTAAATAAGCAACACAACACAGCCACGAGAGCTGGAATATAACAATTAATTTCAATAAGTAACTGAAAGAAAAGCATCAGGAATAATTCTACCAGGGACAACCTAAATTTGTTTGTGTCTATGTGTGAGACTGTGTGTGTCTGTGTGTGTGTGTAAGTGAATGTGTACATGTGTGTGCGCATAAACCTGTTAAAGAATGTAGTTGTTAGTGAGAGTGGGACGCCACGACTGTGCCACACTTACCCCAGCAACAGGCAGGCAAGAACCCCAGTAGCCAATATGGGTGGGAGAAAGAAAAAAAATAAATCAATCAAAAAAACAAAGACTCCCAGATGCACCGCGATGCAAACGCAGAAGACCCCGACCCAAATGCCAGTTGACAACGTAATGCCGACGGAACGCAAGAAGCGTAACCCGCGGAAGAGCAGCACCTGGACCGACCGCGGCGCGCACACAACATAGACCAGTGTTCCCCCCCCCCACCCAGCACCCCACCGCCGCGCAGCGAACAACCAAAATGCCCAAATGCCACGCAATCATCAACACCAATGCACAAGTTACGAGCCCAACGTGCACGGCGACACCCAATGCCCAGCAGCCCCCTGCGAATCCCACGTGCGAGGTCGGGCAAACGAGAGAGAGCAAGCGGAACAACACGACTGCGAAAGCCAGCGGAGAGAAACACCAGCAGCAAGTCCCAGCCCGGCAGCAAACGCGCCGCACAGGTCACCGTGCACCGACCAATAAAAGTCTGCCGTCCCCCCAACTGCCGGAAAAAACTAAGGCCGCCAGTGCCAGCCGACATCCCCCATGCCCGGCACGCCCCCCGGCCGACGTGCAACACCAGCCAAACCAGCAACGAGGCAATCAACTAGCTCAGCTGCATGCCACCAACAACCCACCCACCCATCAAGGGCCGAGAACTCCAGGCACAAGCCCAGAACAAACCGGAGCACAGCCCTGCCCCGCACCCACTCTGCACATCCCGAAAACTAACTTTATACCTCAGTATCCAGAGGGGTCCAACAACTGGCCGACAGAGAAATGGGGAAGCATGGATCCGAAACCACAGGAGCCCCACTCCTGCCGAAGAGGGCCCAGGCGAGGAGAGGAGACAACGGGCCCCCAGGCCAGGGGAGGTCAAGAGCGGTCCCTAGGTCAAGAGCGGGCCCCCACGCCAGGGGAGCCCCGACCCCCCCAGCCCACCCCGGGGCTCCAGGGGCAGGACACGAGGCCAATGAGAATCTCCCCCACTCCTTCAACCCCTCTGCCTGCCTCTGTAAATGTATTGTTTTGTGTTGGATGCATGTCATGGATTGTGAAGTGTTGTATGGTGGAGTAAAGATAAGGTGTGTGGTAACTAAGGTGCAGTTAAAATTGGAGGGTAGTTGTGACACAGGCACCCCACAACTGTCAGAACACACAGTATCTAAGTAACAAACAACTTTTGAGTTACCGGGACCCCTAGCTCCTGCGCCAAGCTAACATGTGCCAGACCAGTTTGTCTGATAAGAGACGAAATTACACCATATACCTCCATCAAACCCCAGTTTAAGACAATGACATTTTTTATTTGACTAACTTATTATTATTATTATTATTATTATTTAACCAGAAAATCTGAAGTACATTATTTCTTTTACAAGAGGTCTGAAGAGAGACCTGGCATAAATGATGATAAATTAGCTATCCATCCTAACAATAACTTATAGCACAGTCGTCACTGTATCATTTATACTATGTACAAGTGTTACTGGGGAAAATAGGTCACCTCTGTGGTAAGTTTCTGTATCTTACATTTCTTGCCACTTTTATCTACAACGTTTCTGTCGCTCTCTGTTTTCAGAATCATTCACAGCAGACCACAAGCCGCTGATGGGAGAAGCCCCAGAGGTCAGAGGTTTCTTCCTGGGCTGTGGCTTCAACAGTGCTGGTAAGTGCTGCAGGGATGGAAAGATTAAAGAAAGAATGAGAGAAGACCTATAAAGAAAGAAAAGAAAGGAAGGGGAAAGAAATTAGGAGTGCAAGTACAACAGAGAATGTAAAGACATCTCTAGTCAGATTGTCAATGTCATAATCTTTACCTGTAACAGATCAAACCATGACCTGAGAGAACTAAAAAGGTTAAAGGGATCTTCAAAGAAAGTAGATGGCAAAATAAACAAGAAGAAAACAAGCAAGGAGAAATGGCCAGAGAGTGTTGTTCCCAGATTTTGACCCAGCCATGGCCAATCTCTGTGGACACTCTCAAGGCACAAATGAATAATGGAGTGCTTTTCATTTTTCACTGAGTTCATGGAGAACACACACACACATACACGTACAAACAACAACCCAAGTCACTCCATTACTTACCTACTCCATTAGCTTACCTCTGACATTAGACAGGGAGGAATGTGAGTATCTTGGCAATCTGAAAAACATAGAGAGAGGGGGCGTAAAGGGTAAAGTAATCACCATCTGCGTTAACAGACAGTTGAGAAAAAGCTGTTTTTCCTTCATAAGAGCAAAAGACCACAGCTTTGAGCTCTAAAGTTGTTATGACAAGAGCTTTGGAGGTGCAGTGAGGTATAGCTCTAATGAGTGAGCATACTGTTTTTTCAACACATAATGCAATGACCTTCCTTCTCTCTTGTTTTTTGCTTCAGAAGTGTCGTTTTTGAAAGTTGAATGCCAAGTTCTTGCAAATTGCTGATTGGTCTTTGCTGTTCTCGCTCTTATTCCCCCGACCACTCATTCTGTCCATCAGTCTGATGGTAGGCCAGTTAATATCTTGTTATCCAATGTCAGGTTAACAAGGGCTCATACACTCCAGTCCCTCTGCTGTTCCTTTTTATATCTCATACATATTGCCTCATACCTTATTCATTAGACCTGTATTGCTTATGGTTTACGTTGCGTTAAAAATATTAGGTAATTAAAGCTAGGGTGGCCAACGTTGGAGAAACTAGCAAGAGACAGCTAGATGTTGAAAGAATCCACCCCTTTACTTCAGGCCTACCTCCAAAGCCACTCCCCCAAAAACACATTAATTTCATTCTGGGCGAATGAAATGAGAATTCCAACAAATTCATATTTGTTTATGGAGATTAAAAGTATATCACAACTAATGTCCATGTTTGCCCACGCCATCCCTTTTTCTCTGTCACTATTTCTACCCCCCGGCCTCTTCGTCCCTCTAGCAAGGGAAAAGTCTTCTGTCCATTTCACTCTATCACACAAAAACACATGAACTCAAGACAAGTCGGGGTAATTCAGAAACCAGAGGGTCAGAGTCGACAGTTTCACATTAAGAAATCCATCACTTTTTAAGCCTGCAGTTGTTTCATTTTACCTGCTGGGGTTCTTTTTGGTTTCCAAGCAATCACTAATTCTGCTTACTTGTGTGGGTTGTATTTGTTGCCTAGATACCTTAAGTTACCTATTCTATCAAAACCATTGGGCTGAACTCTGAACTTCGAGTGCATTTATTTATTTTAATTATGGTTATTTAATTACTTTCAACTACTGTACCTCTTTTTTGGTTACATGACCATATTGCTCATAGTCACTATAATGAGGCTTTTGAATCATATTATAAGGTACAGTGAATAATGTTTTTTGCTGGGAATAAAGTCATTCACCTCTTACTTAACACAGTTTTGTTAATCAGAAGCAGAGTAGGGTGGGTCGATTCAACTGTACATGTTTCCGAACCAGCTTCACAACCTAGATTGGTTTCAGAGTGGGAAGTTATTAATTTGTAACAAACTGATCTGTCATACCCAACGTTTTAACTCTGCACTGTCTCTAAATCACAGTAACAACTTTATGTCCATATATATTTATGTCATATTTATGTCCAGTGACTGCTTAAAGTTAAGTGTCACCACATGATTGACTGAAATATATTTCCCACTTTGGCTGTTAAAAGCAGACAGTTGGCTTTCTAGCGTGAGGGACGACATAACCGCCATCTTTGCCCTTATGGGCTTTCCCCATAGAGTTGTATTGAGGATGTGTTTGAGTGGCGTGTCTCCACTATAGAACGTCTCTGCTGCAGCTTAGTATTTTTCTCCAAACATTTTTTTGAGGGTGTGCCTGACTAGCCGCTAGCCGAGAATTATGACGTGTGTTTCAAAGTGACGCAGATAGTTGACGGAAGTAAAGGCTGGACTACAATATAATGTAAGTATAATATGACCTCTTTAAGCTAGTTTATATTTGCCTACTGTGGCCTAAAGTTGACTTATTTACATGATGTGCCTTGTTTGTTTAACTCGTACATAAAGGGGAGTTGTGTGCTGGAACTTCTTAGTGAACAACAGCCAAGCGTAGCTTCTCTGTGTCTTGTCACAGTGAGGTTGTCAGGTTTGGTACACAAACCAAAACCTAGTGGCTAGGGTTCACCAGCCATATCTGTCAACTTGTGCTATAACTCAAGATGCTACACATAAGTGCTAGGCAGACAGGTAAACTATTGTATGTCAAGAGTCAAGTCAGCTTTATAGATGCTGGTAGCCAAGGTTTTGAACTTTGGACAGCATAAGATGGTTTTGCCCAGCCACCAATCTTTATGCTAAGTTAGACTAAACAAATCCTGACTGATTTGCTGTGCAGACGTTCGACTGGTAAGTGCATTTATCAAAATGTCCTAGACGACTTTGACCTTGATGTCTAAATGTCTTTCACCTGTGAATCAATGTGCTTACGGTGCTGTGGATACATAGAATTATGTAGGTATGTTTTCTACTTCTTTAAAAGCATTTTTTAATTGCTAGCGGCATCCATGGCAGCCTCACTGTAAATGTCACAAGAGAGGGAGAGAGCAAATGTCTTGCAGAAGAGAATAGAGGGAATGATAAACAGCAAATATTTGCACAGCATAAACATTAATAGAGTGAGATACCGAAAGCTGGTAAGGAAAGGGGAAGTACAGAGGCAGAGAGGAGGTGATGATAAGATGAATGGAAGCTTGAGGGTTCACACGCAGATGCATGCTCACACATCAGTGTGGTTATCTCGGGTGACATTTATCAGTGCCACCTCGCCTTGCTGGTTGTCTACAAAGTGTCTTGCAAGATCTCCCATCATCCCTCTACCACCCTCCTCCCTCAATCTCTCTAACCCTTGCTCCAATCTGTCCATCTATCGCGCCATTCAAATGTCCACCCAGGCTCTGGCCCAGAGTGACAGTGCCTGGAGTGGGGCACTGAGGGATGGAGGGTGAGGGGATGCTGCAAGCAATGATGATGGAGGGATGCGCTGTCCGGGCTGCTGCATAGTGATGTTGTGCTCGCAACACATGTAAGAGTGTATACACGCGCACACACAACACACAAACATGATGTATGCAAATTAGCAGCAAAACAACACAAGAAGGGGGTTGCTAAAAGGGAGCAGCTCATTAACCCATCGGTTTTGGGACTGATGTATAAAATACTGAATAACCAGCGTTTGTTTGTTGGTCTAGTTGAAATGAACAGGAGGCTGCAGCCGTCGGGTGCAGCTGATGAGGTCGGATTGCCCTGCGGCAGCTGTGAGCAAGGGTCAAATGATGGAACAAAAGTCAAAACAATCCTCTTTAGATCATATGACATATAGAGGCTGTAGCAAAGGACAGAACGTCTCTATTATTTTCCAAATTAATGAGACATACTCACAGTCTTTCAGGCAGACTATCAGTGAGAGAGAAGATGAGAGAGGTCCTGGTCATTTCCAAGCTAGTGCTTGCATCAGAGACCCAGTAATCTGCGACAGCAGGATAAAAGTGGTGCATTCATTCTGCAACTTAAGATCATTTTATTATCAATTAATTCATCAGAATAGTGAAACAAATAGTGAAACATGCCCATCACCAAAATAGTGCTGTCAACTTGTGCTCTGGGTATTTATGATGTGCATATTTCTCATTAGTAGTTGACATTTCATCGACAAAAACGATTAATCAAAGACAAATTTTTTTTGATTGCAGACCAAAACCCAAAGATATTCCATTTAAAATAAGATAAGAACGGATAGAACCAAATTGAGCTTAATTATGTACTTTTTGATTATTAAAATTGATTGAGTGATTGTGTTTTCTGCAAACTACTGAATGTGATTTATGAAATGATGTTCATAATAATTTCTGTGTTTATTGTTTCTTTTTCTGTATGTGTGTTTTTGTGAGGTATGATGCTGGGAGGTGGTTGTGGTAGAGAGCTGGCTCACTGGATCATACATGGCCGCCCTGAAAAGGATATGTATGGATACGACATCAGGTACATCAGCGCATTTAAAGTGTTTGAGGGGCAACAGTGATCTCAGGACGTGTCACTCTATAAAGCAGAGCATGGTTTTGAGCTTCCGATTGGCATTTTATCAAAGGAGCAGCAGGGACCAGAATAATTATGAAGTTTTAATGAAGTCAGAAGGATTGTGACTTTTAATGAGCACTAATCTTTTTGAATTCCTCTCCCTCCTGTCTAAGGCGTTTCCATAACTCGCTGACAGACAACCAACGCTGGATCAGAGAGAGGAGCCACGAGTCGTATGCTAAAAACTACTCTGTGGTGTTCCCCTTTGATGAGCCTCTGGCCAGCCGAAACATGAGGAAGGACCCTTTCCATCAGGTAGATGAGTGGTTTGATCTCTACTGCAGACGGTTAAACAGGGCGTTTCTTGAGGAGTTCAAGGAAACAACCCAACCAAATGTGCGTCTCTCTGGTGTGAGTTAGTCAGACTCCTTTCAACTGTGATGAGTCATTTAAGTCGCGGGACGACAGGTTAAATGGCAACGATTTTTTTTTCTTGCCTCTGTACATGTACACAACTATTACTTATGATAGAAAACTAGAATGAAAAGAACTATGAACAGATAGTTATTTTATAAAAAAACAGGAAAATATTGTCAAACTATAAAATTAGTGATAACACAAATACACAAAGATAAATTAACAAGAAAATATTCTTTGTGGCGTTATTGTGTTATGTTGAAACATGTTCCTGTTATTTGTTTCCACCAACAATGTTCTCGATTCTGGTGCCTCTCCCTGAGATGTTACGGGACCATATTCATAAATATATATTTTAATGATAAGTTAAGCACAACCTTTGCTTAATTCAAGCATTTTCAGTTAGATAAGCAGGGCTTTTCATTTTGAGTGAAAAAATTTTGTCTTTTGCATAGCTGATGGAAAGTTTCTGGACCCATATCGACGAGGTTTCCAAACATAGATGATACCAGTTCATCTCTTTAAGTCACAGGCGCATCTTACCTGCCATCATCTTCGATAACTTCCTGTATTTTTAGAGGTTGTATGACTCACCCCTTTTCTCCTTTACCTTTTTTACCTCTGTTTTTTTCCATGTGTCTACCCACGGCCTTCACTCAATGTGGTATTCTCTCTTTCTGACATCCTACCCAATGCAGTTTTTTTTCTTCAATTCATCCTGCTATTCATATTTAATGTCTGTTTCTACCTCTGTCTCGCCTTCTGGTTGCCAGTGTCTTTTGTTCTTGTCACAGTCTATATTTTGAGAGAGAAAAAGTGATGCCGTTGTTTCTTAACCTCTGTAACCTCAGCGTCTGATTGGATAATTGAAACTGTAATGTGGCAAATCACCGTGTCAACAATGCCCCAGGTTGTGCAGGCTTGAACATTAAGTGTGTGTGCATGAATGCACGGAGTAGATGTTGAATAGGGTATGCTTCAGTTGATGATGCTAAAAATCAGTTTTAAGTTGCAAATAGGAATGGAGAGCCAACTATGTGTGCTTTCATGTCTGTCATTTAAGATGGATAGATAGATAGGTACTTTATATTACATATAATATTTTGCCAAGCTAGTCTTGAAGTAATGGTGATGCATGTATTTGCAAATATATAATTTGTCTCACTCTCTCCTCTTGTCTTCTCTGCTCAAATGTAGAGACAAATAGCTGATTCAAGCTCGGGCAGACAGCAGTTAGCAGCTTAACTTATCCCCAGCAGCTACATTTATTAATGCGATCCTTGCCAACATGACTATAAATGATACACTTAGCTTCGGTAGCCCGGTCTCAGATGTCTTTCAGCTTCCTTTCTCTCATTATCCAGACACAAACTCTTTTAATGGGCCTCGCCACCATATTTTATGCATTGATGACCCCCTTAGCCTTGCTTTTTCTGCTCCAGACTTCATTTACCTTTAACTGTTGCAGTTTCTACCCCTGCTCATGCATGCCGGCATGCTTTCAGAACAAATTACTGTCACAGAAATTGCATTAGCAATGTTGTCAATGTTTTTTGTAGATCATTTCTACTACTTTCTTAGAACTTGTTTTATTTAGCTTCCCTGACATATTTCATGCATAATTAACCAAATATCCCAAAGGGCTTTTTTTTAAAGGTTTTGCACAGAATGAGCAAAGGCATGAAGAGATGGTAACTACTTTAATGTTTTTCAGTTAGTGATTTGTGTCTTCACAATTAATTTGTACATTATGAAGAAAAAAGTACTTGTATTTTGGATGAATTAATATCTAATTTAATATTGTGATTACAAAAAGAACTAGAACTGCAAGCAGTTGTAAGCGGGGTCCAAACCCCCAGCGCCAGCCACGCTCCTTGCCCTGTGGAGGCAGCGTGAGGTGACCCGCCCCGGCTCCGGTGGCCCGAGGTTAATGAACGACCAGAGTTTGAAATTAAACGGACTTGTGGTTAAGGAGAAATAAAATAAATGTATGTCTATGTGAGTGTTATTTCATATACGATTTAGCGCCACCTATTGCCGAATGACACTAAATTTTATACAGCCCTTTGGTAAGTTGTGCCGCATAAGGTCCTCAAGTTTGGTGTCGCTCGGCCATTCCAACCCTAAGATATGACATGACTTCCTGTTTTTAGTGTTTTTCGCAAACATTTGTTAGCTATAATTGGAACAGTTTTTCATGTATCGACCTGGTGAGCACATGCCTGTATCAGCTTCGCCCAGAGATGGTCCGTGCCAAGTTTGGTGCTGATCGGACTTGCGACTTTGGAGAGTTAATCAAAATAAGTTTTTCAGTTTTCGCGATTTTGCGGAAAAAATTATAGATGAAAGTTGGCGTGGCCTATACCAGATTTGATATGCGCCTTCGTATGTTCCAAGCCCAAGCGCGTTGACCTTACCGTCTAGGCTGCAGTATGAGTTTTAGTTGCAGAAGAATAAAAATAAAAAAACGAGAATGAATACAATGGGGTTCCCAGCTCCACTGGTACTGGGAACCGCAGTGCCTTGCATTCGCGGGTTCCCAGCCCCACTCGGGCTTCGACCCCTAACAATTCATGGAACTGAAAAAACAAATATCATGCTCTGGCCGTCTTAAGAGTAACACACCAGAGACATATGTGCATCAAAATAAAAACAGCTGCCACTGTGTCTGCGTGAATTTTACAGAAAAACAGTTTTGTCACATTCACGCCCCCATACAACATATCTTGCTACTGCTTGATGCAGTATAGAAAAGGACAAAATCATTTGCCATGGCCGCAAGAAACTAGGGAGAGAGAGAGATGGGGGCAACACGTAAGGGGCAAAGGGCCGCAGGTCAGATTCAAACCTGGGCCACTGCAGTAAGGACTGCGCCTTGTACAAGGGATGCCCACTCTACTAGGTGAGCTAAACTGTGCCCCTATTGATGGCACTTTAAAATGAAAGCATTTTGTCTAGCATAAAACACATGAGCTGATGGACCCTTCCAAGGCTCAATAGATTGCGTCAGCAGTGTTATTTTTAGACAGCTGTGGAAGATATGTCCTGTTTAACAACACTATCACATTAAGGCTTAATTCCTTACCTTTATGTCTTTCTCCAGCCAGCACAAAATACCTTCATTTGCATGATAACACAGTGAGGTATTATCATGTTATGTTCAGTTTAATAATGGCAACAGATTTTATGCTAGCCAGCTACAGTATAGAGCACTGAAAAGACACAAATAACTGCTCTCAGGTAGACAGCTTAAATGAGAGCACAGTCCCTGTGAGACTGGGTTGGTCCAACCCTCGCCTGCAAGCCCATTAGACCCCTGCTAATCACTTGTTCAGGGCCATCACCTAGCAACTAGCCCTGCTACTGTTGGAGAGCCTCAGATAAATGTAGGGGTGGCAGAGAAAAGAAGAAAAAACACTGAGTCTAATTATTATTTTTTAAATGAGCTTCTGTTCACGATATTGGCTCCTGCTCCTAATCACGACTGCATCTATTATGGCTAAGAGATACTTAAGGAGTTTGATCTGCCGAGGAAGCTGTCCCTGTGCAAATAATGACATTGTCTACTTTTAGGAGGCAAAATGAGATTATTTCAGAGCACAAAGAGGCCATCTCTGACACTGCTGCTCACGCATTTTCTCCACCTCGGTAGCACGGATGATAAATATAGCTTGGTGTGGGAAGTTTTGGCAAGAGACAGCTAGCTGCCTGCTAGGAGGAGAGCATAACAGAACATACCTACCAAATGTGGGTGGCTGTCAGTTTTAACAAGGAGGATGGTGAGCGCTGAAACATCCTATTTTAACACTGGTCAAGAAATCAAGAATTTTTAAGTGTATTATTTTTGCAACAGGTTGTGCTAAAAGAGGGATTTCTCATCAATCCCTCCTATGTTAGGTTGATGTAATATTTATTGTTTGCTAGCAAGTTCCCAATAACTACGTTATAATGTGATACTATGTCAATGTTGTAGGTACAGCTTGTTGTGCTGCCCCCAAGTGGCCACAAAAAATCCATTCGTGCTGCTTAAATGCTTAAAAACAGCAGTAAAATGCCCTTGAGTAAGACTGTGGTTGCTCTGGCAATAGATGTTTTCAGTTGAGTGGGGTGAAGTTGCTGAATATAAGAATACATTTACAGGGATACAATTTTGTGAATATATCATCAAACACATCCAGATTTTTTTACGTGGGCATTAGTTTGCATGCAATGAATCCACAGTAAACGCTGAACAGTAAACATTCTCCGCTGCGTGGTGCCCTCTGTGTTGATTTTATCTCTTTGTTTGTGTGTGTGTGATTGTCTGTCTAAGGTGCTGATGGAGCAGGGCTGTGTGTTCCAGGAGAGACATGGATGGGAAAGACCTGGCTGGTTCAACAAAGACAAGCCCGCTCCTGTGAGACAACACACACACTTACACTAAACACATACTGTATATACTGTGCACAAGCACATGCACACCAGTGATTTATTTACATTCTCATATTACATATGACATAAACAAGTGAGATGCAAATTTTCTCTGGTACTTGCTGGATAGGGACTGTTGGAACAGATTGACTGCCAATAATGGGCGGCACTGACAGTATCTGGCCCAATGCTGTGTCCTTGTCTGTACTTGGAAACACTGATAAATAATTAGCCCCTAACTATATGTTTGTCTGTATTATTGCGAAAGGTTAAAGACTATGATTACTATGGTGCTTATGACATTAAGAAGAATGTGAACTACAAATACAACGAATTGCTGGGCAAAGAGTACACCTTCGACTTCCCTCCGCATCATGACGTGGTGAGATGCCAACCGTGTGTGTGTGTGTGTGTGCGAGAGAGAGAGAGAGAGAGAATGTGTGCATTATTCAGTAGAACAATGTTATTAAATTACATGCACCTTCCTGGTCTATGGGCCAAAAAAACTCTGGGTCCCCAGATGAATATAAATGCTCCCATGGTGAAAGGGAACATGTGTCCTCATGGGAAATAACAATCACGCACAACTGACAGTGATGAGAGTACAGTCAGTGAGGTTTATAGAGCATAAAGTGCACACCAAACTAACTCATCAGTTCAGAGGACACACCACAAGGGGAGAATTACCAACACTGACGTCAGAACCTCTTTATTAGTTCTCCCTTTAATATCACAGTTGTGATGAATGTTTCCTTCAAGGATTTGGCTCCAAGTTTATACAGTCATCGTAGAAATGTTTGGCAAAGAGAGGAAGACACGCACGTTTAATGTCAGCGTCTGTGTTAATTGGAAGTGTGTGTCTTGTGTGTGTGTGTGTTTTTTTTTTTTTAAATAATGCAGATTAAGAGCGAGTGCCTTTCATGTAGACACGGTGTGGCCGTGTTTAACATGTCCTACTTTGGAAAGTTCTATCTCACTGGACCAGATGCCAAGAAGGCGGCTGATTGGCTGTTCACTGCTGATGTCAACAAGAAGCCAGGTCAGTTTTCTGCAGCAAGAACACACACACACACACACACATAGATGCACAGACACAGACAGATGGGAGATAAGATTGACAGAATGAAGAGGGCAGATACATGGATAGAGGGACTGAACAAAATGCCAACACATGAGCAAAACAGTCCAGTCTTCCACTAAATCTCAAAATACCACTAATACTAAATGCCAGTATGTAGTATATCGTAACTTTTCAAAATCAACAAACCGACGGGTACTCCTGCTTTCTGCAGTGACTGGTGTGTACAGATGTGAAAATGGGCAAATCTCCAAATGCTTCTAATATTTTCTCCACTTTCTTCACATTCCTACTTCATCCACTGTCCATTTTCACTGCTGAACAGAATAAATTCAGAAACTTAGATCTGTCATCTCATCTATGTGGGATTTCAAAATGTCCAATTTTGGCGACTCCGTTTGGCACCACCCCACAGATCTGACCCATAGACTGTATATCCAAATGGATGACGGGTCCCTTCTTCCTCCCACTGTACAAAAATTAAACCACAGTAAAATCAGAATCGTCAAGTCGACTGATAGTCGAATCGTGTGTTTTTGTGCACGGCGATTGTAAGCAGAGTTTTTGCTGTGCTTCCTTCAACTGAATGCACGTCGCGGTTCCTTGCGGCTCTATTTCAAGTAGTGGTTGTTTAAAAATGATATAATATTCTTTGTGTGGTTCATCAACAGTGATAAATTACCAGAAAGTCCCGCGAGGTGCGTACAACTCGGCACAACACTGGTGAAGCTGTGGCTCCATCTCTTCAGCAAGTTTTCCTCCTGCCACTACACACACAAACGCTATGCCTACACATGCGCACTGACGACCCAGGGTTAGGGTTACAATTTTGGATTTATTCACGCACTTTAAAAACATTTATTGGAAGTTGTTTTTTTCTTTTTACATGTTTATTTACAGCATTAAATGTTGAAATGTGTATTGTAATAGGCTGTATTTTAACTTATTGGGAGAAAACTGGTAGTTCTATGTAAAATCAGCACCCCCATATCACATAAATGGCATGATCCTTGTTTCGCTGCAAAGCTTCGACTGTGAGATTGACAGTCAAATCAGGCTCCGCCCATCGAAGCATCGAATCTTCGACTATTTGGGGTCAGCCCTACACACCGCTTTCTTTGTTTTCCATTTACAGAGCCAGGGCTGTCTAGGAAAACCTGATTCTTTTTTTAAGAGCACACACAAAATGGAGAGCTAGCAAACCGTGAGGAAATATTTGCTGAATTGAACAAAACGTGTATTGGATTACAATCACTTACTATCCAATTAAGTAATAAGGTGGGTGCCATAGGTCAACAAGACACTAGGGGGCAATAATAACATAAATAAGTGTTAATACTGTAAAAAAAACTGTTGTTGTATATATGAATAAAGTGGAATATCACAAATACTCTTTATATACAGTCTTCCTCTTTAAAGAAACCCGGTGTAATTGAAGTGCATTATCGCTGGAATAACCCTTTAATGTGGTCATATTATGCTCATTTTCAGGTTCATAATTTCATTTAGGGGTTGTACCGGACTAGGTTTACATTGTTTTATTTTCAAAAAACATGATATATTTTTGTCATACTGCACATTGCTGCAGCTCCTCTTTATACCCTGTGTGTAGAACACACTGTTTTAGCTCGAGCCTGAGTCTAAACCAAACACAGGCAGAACAACACAAACCAGCTCCGCAACCTTGTCTGGAGCAAGACGTTTCAGAGGGGTAAATTAATAATTTGTAACAAATGTATCTGTCATATGTATCATTTAACAGTGCACTGTCTCTACACAATAACGTTATTTCACTAGACGTTAGGCAACATTACAACGTGAGTTACAAAGTGACGTAGATAGGTTATGGAAGTTAAGGCAGGACTACAGTCGAGGAGCAGTGTTTTCTGTGGGAGATGGTAACTCCCTTTGGGGTGGACTTTGGGCTTCTCATCTATTACATGCACAAAAAAAGATATATAACAGAATAAAGGTAAGGAAAAAAACACAAAATGACCTCTTTTTCGCACAGCTGGTGTTAAGCACACACCAGGAAGTGTGTTTACCTGCGTGATACCTGTAAATGCAATATTTTCTTTTCTATAGCCGGCATGATTGATTTTGATGATTGCTGACATCTAATTCCACTTTATTACCCTCCACTCATTATGACAACCAGATGTCACCCCACCGAAGAGGTGGTTTCTCAAAAACGTGGCTTTTTCGACACATCATCCGCCCTTGCTTTCACTCTCTCTTTCATGTCCCCACTTCTCAATGTACATCAGTTACAGTGGTCACACTTGCTTTGAGAATATTTGATGTCTCACCGAAACATTTACGCTGCCCTTTTCTTTAATACCAGCGACGAAATGAAATGGTAACATCAGTCATTCATTCAAATGAGAGATGACAGAGGGACAGCCACATATCAGAATGTCCCCAGCTCTTTTGGCCAGTGGATGAAATGTTATTTTTTCTCTTGTGATTACCGACTTCATTTGTTAGGAAATTATTTTCATGATGTTCTCATTATCAGTATTTTTGTTAAGTGATGTTCTCAGCAATCAGTATAAACAGAGTTCATACTTTAGTCGTTTCCTTGGTAACTATTTTACAAGAAGACGAGGTTCTTGTGTTGTCAGGGCCAATGCATTCCCTGGAGGCAGAGATTGATAGTGATTGCCTCTTAAAAAACAACAAAGTTGTAAAAGAAGTGTAAGTATGCTTGAGTTTATTAAAAATTCATTCTTATTCACACATGGGGGGGGCAGGAAAGCACACACACAAACACACACATACAGTCACACAAAAGCATACAAACTGAATTACTCACAAGGAATCAGTTACAAACAGAAGACTGACCTCAGATTCGGCTTCATTTTTATTCTGAGATTTTTGTCGGCTTGGATCCAAGAGACTGCACGCTTTAAATTGGCCTACAAAGTCTGCCACAGGAATTAATTGTTAATGTGTGTGTTCTTGTGTGTTTCAGGCTCCACTGTGTATACCTGCATGCTGAATAAGAGAGGAGGGGCGGAGGCTGACCTGACAGTGAGCAGACTGGAGCATGGTGCTGCCAACCTGCCCCTGGCACCAGAGTTCAATGGTGAGAAATGGAGGATGTGTGTGTGTGTGTGTGTGTGTGTGTGTGTTGTTTTACAAACCTGCTTTACTGTTACCTGTATTGCTCTTTGTTATTTTATTCTACTGTTTATAAATCCATCACTGTTTGTGTTTTTCATTTTAACTGTTGTATTTTTATCTGCTGCTGGATATCTGTCAGTCTATTGTATCTTATTTTGGATATATTTATTGTTCTGTCTCCCAGTCTGTCTATCAATACTGTATATCTGTTATGTTCATCATTATATTCTCCCACCAATTTTTCTTCTGTTTATTCTGTTATTTGCATCATACTATTTGCATCATTCTATCTATGTGAAATCTATCTTGGTGCTTTGCTGGATGCATCTATTGTTGTGTTCGCCATTCAGTAATTTTCCCTACTTTTCTATGTATGTACTCATCTGCCAGTTCTTTCACCAGAAAAAAACCCCCAAAAACAATGAATTAAAAGAGTGGCGTTGTCGGGGTGTATGTAGCTGCAGCATCTCCGGTTTTAGCTCAGATAGGCTGTTGTTGCCTCGCGTACACACAGATCAGGCAAATGTAGCCTATTTATTGGAGAAATATAACATCTGCTGTTCTACCTTTTGTTGTATTTTGACGTCAATTTATGTGCTGTGTGTGTTGTAGTCATTCTAGTTCTGGTTTTTAATTGTTGTGTTTTTTTGATGTATAGAAAACCACAGCGGTGTGGACTCGAGTCACAAAAATGATGACTTTAGACTTAACTTGACAAAATCAAAGAAGACTTGCGACTCGACTTTGACACCAATGACTCGTGACTTCACTTGGACTTGAGCCTTTTGACTCGAGCTGACTTGACACTCCCCATGCCCAAATATAAATTATGATATAAACTTGCGCAGCGCATCAACATAATGCGGTGCTCAATTAGACTGGAACGTGCAGCTTCCTCCACCGTCCGAAGCGCGGCCGGCCGCTCCGTTATCTCCTGTCCCTGTACGCCCCAGCGACCCACTCCCTCTCCGGTACCTACAATGGGTGCACTATGAACCGTTCGTGATCGGACCCTCTGGCTGGATGAATTTTACGCTTAATTTATGCACAACAGCTGGGGGCCTGACGCAGCGCCACACAACTTTCTAAATTCCTCCATATCACGGAGAAAAGAAAGGTCAGGTCGAAACAGTGTAGAGAGACTGCCTCAACTGTTGCATGATGCTGCTTCCACCAATTATAAAAACAAGTTAATTAAGATAAAACGATAATAGCGCTGGGTGCTGTTTCAAAACGACACTCGTTTTGTTTTATAAATCCAGCGCACCTCTTTCCTTTACAGCTGAGCCGCTCGTCCCTGTCTAAAAAGTGTGTTCAGTGTTGCTTTACCTGATCGGTGCTTGTAAATATTCAAGGTGTCTGCCTCTTCTAACGTCATAGCGATTTATAGTTTTCTCACCGCTGGTTTCTGTCACTGCATCTCTCCACAAAACAACACGGTTTTATTTCAGCGTTCTGTAACGTAACTTCATCAACTCCAGTAGTTCACCTGTCACCTGCACTGCTCCCCTCCGTGTACACACACACACACACTTACTCAAACATACACACACACACACACACACTTACTCAAACATACACACACACACACACGTACACAAACATACACACAGAGCCCCCTCAGTGACCCATTCCTCAACCAAAGCTGTCAACTTGGGGGGAAACTGTGGTCCTCTTGCACTGTAGATGCTGCTTAAAGTTAATAATGTTGGATTATTCTTATTTCATGGGCTATATGAGATTTTGGAGTAACGTGTGTGTGTGTGTGTGTGTGTATATAGAATAGTTTTTAAAAAGAAAGTATTACATTTTAGAAGTTCAGTAGTTTAATGTTTCCTAAGGCAATGAGTAATCCTGTTAAATAATTGTGATCTCAATATTGACCAAAATAATTAGCAGCCCTACATGAACATTTAATTTAATTCATGAAATTATAGAACATTTTTGTGTGAAATTGCACCTCTGCCTTCTTTCTGTACAGGCTAATGCTTCATTCAATACATTTTCTTTATTTTTAACTTATAAAAACTTTTGAAATGGTTTTACATTTGGTGAAGAGCGCATTATGGGTTGTTTAGGACTCGAAACTCAAAGTTTAAGACTTGGACTTGTTGGTCCTTGACTTGAGACTTGACTCGGACTTGCCAGTCATGATCGGTTTGGACTTGGGACTTGAGTGCTAAGACTTGAGACTTGACTCGGACTTGTAAAACAATGACTTGGTCCCACCTCTGGAAAACCATCACTTAATCATTATTTATTTCTTTCCTTTCCTGCCTTTCCTCCAGGTGATGCATACTATCTGGCCATCGGAGGTGGTGTAGCAGAACACAACTGGAACCATATTAAAACGGTACTTCAGGACCAAGGCTTCCGCTGCCAGCTGACAGACCACTCTGAGGACATGGGGATGATCAGCATCCAGGGACCCAAGAGGTAGGACAAGAAAAGGAGGAGAGAGGGATGAAAGAGGGCTATGAATGAACGGAGACATTGTCAGGATTTATATATCCAGGTGAGAAAAGGAAAAGGAGTGAGTGACAAAAAAAGAATGGTAGACGGGGGGAAAAAATTAACTGATTGGTCCAAAGATGAGTTATGAATCACATACTGCACATGAAAGGTGGGGAAAAAAGACGAGCTGTTCGATCGATAAGAGGGAAAGCAGGTTAAGAGCCTATCTTCAAGACTTGGCCAGGGGCAGAAGAGGTGAGTGAGTACAGGGGCGGAGGTGGGTTGAAAACAGGAGACAGGAGCAGGGAGGTTCATGGGTAACTCTGCTGTTTCATGATAAATTCAAATCTATTTTTTGAACTGAGTGAATGATAAAATATAAAGATTAGTTGCAGTTGCACTCTCTGTGTCCACAACAGTTGGGTTTAAACGTTGAACCTGGCACTGACCCATGACTAGCTTACTTCAGACCACCAGCAGGTCAACGTTTTCAGTTATCTGGTGAAATATTTCAACTAGGTATGTCCAGATAAATTATTTCTCAATCGATCTCAATCCGATTCCTTTTAATATTGGGTATCTGCTGATACTGATTTTGACCTGATAACTATAAACTATTAAGTTTGCAAGCTTAAATTATTAATAGATTATAGTAGGGCTGCAGCTAACGATGATTTTAGTATTTGAAGCTTCTATCGGTTATTTCGATTCATTGATGCATCGTTTAAGAAGTACTTTTAAAAAAATTCGGGATCAGCTATGCATGTTTATAGGTGATAGATATTTATTGGTCCTTTCGGAAATTAATAGTGTGTCATATAGTAAACATCAGACCAACAATCAGACAGCTGCTTTACAAACACAAACATCACAAGTGCACATATACAAGTTATACTAAAGGCTCGTGCAGACTACACGACTTTCAGCGTCGGCCGATGCCGTGCTGTTCAGACTACACAACTTGCAGTCATGTGATGGGAGTCTTGAAGTCGTTGTGGCGTTCACACTACGTGACTGATCGGTGACAGGGGGTCACACACTACACAAGCTGACAGCAGCTGTGTCACCCGACGCTGGTCTCCAAACCACGTTTTGTCAAGAATACACGTGAAATGTGAAACGAGTGATCCTGCACACGCAACGTCTTTTGTTTGTTATTATAAAGAAAGGACATTTTGGACACTTTCTTCTTTGTCCCTCGCTATTTTCTCTCTCTTCCTCCACTTTGCAAACAGGTCCATTATAATCACGTCGTGTTCACAGCGTAAGCGCGACAGTAATAAATGTCCGTGTGAAACACTGTTGTGTTTAGTTATATGGATTAAACGAAGCATCGATGCAAAGAATTTGTGTCGATGCATTTTATTAATCGATGAATCATAGAAAATGTACTGTTACCAACAGACAAGTTTAATTTTGGCATCATATCCAGTTACTCTCGGGTTCAGCGTTTATATAGAGACATTTGCTCAGCTGCATGGGAAATTTGTCATTTTAACCAGTGAAGAATTGAATTATCAGCTTTATTTTAGCTGACACCATTAAAATATGCCTGGATCAGCTCCTGGATTCTTTTGGATTGGCTCGGGAGATCTCTAATCTCAACATCTACCAGATGGAATCTGTTTGTTTTCTAGTAGGTTATTTCTTATTTCACCATTTAAATTTTACTTCACTCTCCATCTTGTTTTAGTGTTTATTCACTACTTGAATCTGGTCACCTTGCTTTTCCCTTCAGTTCTCTTTTCCCCACGCGCACACACAGACACCCACACCTACATCTCTGGTCTCTGCTCTAACTGCTTACATCTCTCTTGCTCTCTCCCTGTATGTGTCTGCTCTGTTGACTTTCTTCATCAGAAGTATGTTTTATAAAGTTGCCAAAAAGTCACAGAAGGAGTTTACCACCTGCGATTCATTTTCACATCAGCCGGTGCGCCACATGTGGAGGAGGTTTGTTAATGATGTAGCCCATAGAAACGATCAAAACCAACCATCTTCACTGGTGTGTTCACTGTTCACTCTCTCTTTACCTGGTCCGTGCTTGTAAAATATCCACCGTGTCTGCGTCTTGTAACGCAATAGACAACATATCTTTCTGTGTTTTCTCTGCAAAATGGGTCCAAATAATATACCTGGGTACAGAATTGTTATAGGATAACTATAACCTCATAGTAGATACTGGTGTTTATTAACTGATTTAAGGCCTCTCAACAATAAACTCTGCTTTTCTCAGTCTCAGAGTTCAACATGATATTAAATTTTAGATTGGCACATTATGTTTTTGTAATAGAAAGGTAATCTTATTCCTACATCTCTTCACCTGCACCGTCTGCCATGATGACTCACTAGTGGAAACACTGCACTGACAACTTTCACGGACTAAATATTAAGTCTTTATAATGTCTTATGAAATTATACTGTACAGCTTAGATCCCTGAACGAGGACGACCAAGGATTAAGTTGTAACAGTAGTATGCTATATGAATGCTGTCAAACGCAGTGTTTATGTATGAAAGAAGTACGTATATAGCTGTTTGATTTATTTCAAGCCCTGGAAAATCTCTTGCTCTTGTGGCTGATAACATTCAGCAACTTCCATTGTGTGTGTGTGTCACTGTAACTTTGGTTAAATTTAAAAGCACCCGTAGGGTTTGATCCTACAGGTTCTAGGATCTGGAGAAGGGGAGATGTGTGATCTTGCATTACTACTACTGGTAGACTTGAAAATCAAAAGGCTGTTCTAAAATGTAGGCCATTCAGATATTTGTATGGTATGACAAAAAAATTCCACATCTACCAATACCTAATATCTTTCATCTTTAACAACAGTAATAATTACATTTGTATGAGACCATATTCTTCACACAAACATTTTTCTCCCTTTAACTTCACTTTTGTGGTTTTGCAATTCTTTGGATTTTACTTGAACTGAACCATAAACTAAAAACGTCACAGAATTCCTTTTTTACTCTTGTCCATCAGAACCACCATCTATTGATTTCTTCATGTAAGGATGAGAAATCGTGTACTGTACACGTGCAAAAGGGTATCGCATATTCGGACATGGGATGTAGTCCAAGCTTGTCACTATCTTCTTGCTCCTACAGCTTCCCTTTGTACTTCACTCAAAGAGCAAGCCAGGCCACCTTTACCTCTTCCCGATCTCATTCTCTGAACTTCTCATCTATCTATCCTTTCCCTCTCACCTCCTCTCCTCCCCACCTCGCCACCCTCCATCTTTGTTCTTCCTTCATACCAGCAGCAGGGTTAGGCCACTCTGTTCTCTGTGTGGGCTTAGTCGATTTCTTCTCCTTGAGGCTTTTCTTATCCTCTGTTCGCCTAAGTTTCTTTTCTCTTAGATCTTATCCAACTCTATTGCTCTTCCCTCCCAAGTCCTCCCATTTTGCTCAATCACCTTTTCTCAGTGTCCTCTTTTTCCAGATTTTTTTCTCCCTATCACTTTTATTGCTTACGTCAAAACAGAAAGCAGTGCATCACCAGCAGCAGTTCATTATAGATACATTCACAATAGGATGTTTTTTTATTATGGAGTTTTCTTGAGCATCCAAAGCGCACTCAGCTTATGAGTGTCTGAGTGTCTGTATTTGCATCTGTAGAGGTTTTGTGTGTGGGTGTGTGGTTGGGTTTGTGTGGGTGTGTGTTTTACTGTGTTCGTGGTGTACAAAACTGGGATTTACTATACTTCTAGGGACCGAACTGCTTTGTGGCGCGGAAAATGCTGGATCCCACAAGTTTAAAAGGCTGGTTAGGGGTTAACACTTGGTTTTAGGGTTCAGGATAGAATTAGGTTAGCGTTAAGGTTAGGCATGTAATTGTGATGGTTATGGTTAGGTTAACATGCTAGGAAATGCATTATGTCACTGAGATGTCCCCACAAAGATGGTAAGACAAATGTGTGCGTGTGTGTGTTCATGGCATAAACAAGATTGGCATCTGTAATTCCTCTGCACAACACTGTAATGATTCTCAGCTCCTCGTCATTGTTTCTGCCACATATGAAGAATTGCAGAGAATCGATCCTCCAATGTTTGAGTTTTGTTTTCTTAGCAACAAATTGATCTCTTTTAAAGCTTGAGGAGAGAGGAAATTACAGCGTTTATGGAAATGTGCTCGTCTCAAGTTTTATCTCCCAGAGATGTCTCATTCCAAGTCTCTGGAGTGGGGAGTCCATTAACTTGCAGCTTTTGTCTCACATAGCTTTGGCAGCATGCTCCAAGGGTGAAACTGGTGCTCTATCATTTGTTTTGTAATTATGAACCTTATTTATAATATATGAAATTATGTGATACCCTGTTCGGTGGTGGGCCAGCGGCAGTTTTTGCATATTTAGACGATACCTATCGAGGGAGGACAACTTCTACAGTTTTCAACAAATGAAACAAAATTTGTTGCCACTCGTACTTCTTGACCATTTTTTGTTTATCAGTAACTTTATTAATAGGCAATAGGAGCGTGCAAACTTATATGTACTTATCATCCAATAGTGTGCTTGGAAAGACATGCGAAGCGAGTTAACTGCAGGTTAAATACGTGGATATAATAAGTTATCATTAAATCAATGAGTGAACTTGTGCTAACACGTGTAGTTTATAGGCTATTATTGGCCATTTTACTGTCAACAAAACCAAAATTAAAATAGATCTACGTTGTAATTACAGACTGTAAACATTTCCTATTCTGCCTTTTTTGTATAGCTTCATTGTACAAGTCACTAAACTACTCTTAAGAGTCTAAAGAAGCAAATAGAGGAAAAGAGAGAGCATAGTGTCCTCTAACTCAAATTGATCCTCAGCACTGCGCCATAGAATATAGTTTATTTCTGTGTATTGTAATTTCCATTTTATGATTGTTTTTGTATACTGTAGATTTATGAGAGTTACAAACCACATTTCATTTTACAACTCTCTTGTAATGTGACAATTAAACGTACCTTCTACTTTTTTTTACTTTACTTTCTAACTAATTTGACACAGCACCTCCCCATGATACCATCAATAGTTTCGGGACCATAAATTAAGCACTGTTATAGAGGATGGGTCACTAACCTGATTTCTGCAGTTAGTGATTAGGTGGGTCGGGATGCATTGTGATGATGCACAGCCTTAAAACAAGCTGAAGCCTAAATCTGTGAATGTCTTCCGCTTGTTCACTGCTAGGGGTAGAAACAGACAGAAGATGGTGAGAAACTCCGGCCCAGACACGGGCTGTAAGGTTACACACCACTGACTACTACACATTGAAACGAGCATCATTTGCAAGCATAAATAAAAATACAAATATGAGTCAAATCTAGCTAATGACAAATAGATGCAAGTCACGTTCAACTAATTGGTGCATAATGTTATCTAGCAAGCGTAGCGTTAGCTAACACTACCTTTAATGTTACATGGTAATGTCACTGTACGTTTGAACAACTAACGTTATGTAATAAAAGAAGTTGCATCACGAACATTTTCCAACAACATTAATTTGTTAGTAGGCTGCCATGTTTGCCGGTAACTTTAACGAACTTTAAAGTATGGTTTGGGGAAAATGTGCAAGCATTACGAGTGGTAACCATTGTGGCAACAAACGGAATCTGATTAAGAATAAAACAATCTTCACAACTTCAAAAATCTGGGTCCTCCATCGATAGGGATCATTACTAAAGCACATACGCGGCCTCAGCCCACCACCTCTGTGAGATAGGGGTGTGTGTGTGTGTGTGTGTGTTAAGTGGCAAGTCAGAGGAACAAATTGGTGGTTGCTAGACTCCCTCACCACACACACACACACACACACACGCACACACACACACACACACACAGAGCCATTCACTGATTATAAATAGCTAATTGGCATTGCTCTTAGGCTCTTGAGTTCAGTGAACAAAGCATTGCTTAAGAGAAAACAGAAATCGGACGACAGCTTGAAGGAAATATAAGCCTGTGCATCATACCAGCACATACATGACATACATGCCTGCAATCATGCATGTACTGTGTACAAGAAATATTTTATTTGCATTATGATGACCATAACCGCTCACCCTGTTCACACAAACTTCCACATCAAGTCATTACCACGTCAATAACCCACACAGATGCTCAAACATGTACAGCACACAAAGCGTAACTTGAACCCTTCCCCAAATACCTTCAACCGTAGCTTCCTGCCACACTGTTGCAAAAATATCCTTTAGAAAAGGCCTCTACCTGCCCACTCACACACACACAAGTAGCAAAGTAAGCTAAACTTAGTCCTTTTTTTTTCTGTTGACTCATCTTTATGTAATATTGATTTGTGTGTGTTTGTGTTTGTGGAAGAAGGAGACATGGTACATTTCTACAGCAAATATAAGAGGTGCTGCTGTAGTTTTGTAGTAATGTTTTCTTGAAATATTTTTTAAAAAGTCTGATTTGATTATTGCAAAGGATACAGATAAGCAGTCACCACACCAGTTGCACGGGTGTAAACGCAAAATATTTTGTTACTACTACTGCTGTTCATAATGTTCCTGTGTTTTCTCTTTATGTGCAGTCGAGAGGTTCTTCAGGAAGTGTTGGACACAGACCTGAGCAACGAAGCTTTCCCATTCTCTACCCACAAAGTTGTCAACGCAGCAGGGCATCAGGTGAGAACACACACTCAGTGCCTCAACTCATTTCTACATTTATTGTATATAGTACATTTAGCAACTTCAAAATAACCCTAGCTTTAGTACTAGCAGTACTAGCTAAATGCCGGTAATTAAAAAAAACTAACAAAATTCTATGCAAATCACATGCTGTTGAATGAAACGGGTGTCTTATTTCAAAGACTCAGTCAGCAGAGATTATAGACTGTGTGTGTGTGTGTGTGTGAGACAGATGGCAGGTTTTAAGTCGTCCTTGTGACTTACTTAGAAGTAAAGTCTGTCCACATGTTTTGTTTTTCTCTACCTTCTTTCCGCCTTCTATCTCTTTCTACATCTTCGCCTGAAGTCAAAAACTCAAAACAAAGTTTATAGCGCTGTTGTTTTCAAGCACTGGGGAAATTGTATAATTATACTTTGCTGTATTTTCCTTTCCATTTTCTCACAATAATGCTGTAAGGGAATGTGACTCCAGCCTCTCAGGTTGACCTCTACACTGTTCCTGGCCTCAGACCAACTGCCACATGCTGCGAGACATATGTCCATGCACACTCGCTCTGTCTTAGTTGCTCTTGCGTGAATTATGCAACGCTCCAGTGATTGCAGTCAGCATCTTCTCACAGCTCTGCAGAAGTGTTTGTGCATGTGTGCGCGTGTTGCTTGTGCTGTGTTCCAGCTGGTTGCCGGCTTCGTCTGGGTGACATTTTAATGGCTGCACTGCTGTGAGAACAGAGCGCTCCCTCTGCCCTCTGCTCCCCTCATAGCTCATTAGACTCTCTCTCTCTCTCTCTCTCTCTCTCTCTCTCTCTCTCTCTCTCTCTCTCTCTCTCTCTCTCTCTCTCTCGCCAGTTGAAGCGAGTGTGCTGGCATGCGTGATAGGTGTTATGAGCATTTTTTGTACTTGTGTCTGTCTGTGCTATGTGTGTCTGTGTTTGATGTATGCCTGATAAATGTATGAGTGACAGTGTGCATGAGGCATGCATGTGTTTCTGTGTGTTTAAGTGTGTCGCCTGTGTATCTGGTGGAGTGTGTGTGTTGTGAATAAGCGCAGGCCTACATGTACTTCCCTCCCCAGAGTTTCATGGTGTACATATGGGGCCCAGGGTGATCCCTGGCTGGCCAGATGGCCTGGCTGTCACAGCACCCACTGGGGAAACTGTTGGAGAGAGTTTTCTCTCCTATTTTTTCACTCCCTTACACATTTTCTCACTCTCTTACTTTCCTTTTCTCTTATGCTGTCAGTCTTCACTCATATATTTTTTGCATCCAAGCCATTCTGGTATTTGTCAATCTGGGTGTTATTCTCATATTGTATCTATTGTGACTATTATCCTGGCAGATACATGAAAAATCTAAACTCAGTAATCAAATCATCCTTGCATCCCTTATCCCTCCATCTGGACCCTTACTCCATTCCGCCTACATCATCTCGGCTCTCCTCCATCCATAATATACAATATAATATTCCAAATACGCATCTTTATTGGCATGGTTTTGTTAGTGAGTGAAATAAAAAACAAAAAGTAGTCCCCTGCAAATGCTTGTAAATCTTCTTGCAGACTGCATAGCTGACCTGTCTGCCAAATTATTGTGCCTGCAAGTCTCCGAATTTCAAAAATGGAATGACAGCATCCACACTGCGCACTTTTCATGGATTGCCACTAAAGATAAACAGATTCTAGTTGCATGTAATTGTTCCACAGCTGCTGAGCAGTTTACCACAGCAGCCACAGTGATTTACAGCGGACTACTTTCTGTGTTTACTTGCAGTTGGAAAGACGTTTTTTGAGATGATATCTGTTAAATTTAATTTTCTTGCGGTGGCTGTAGGAGGCTCACCCCATTCAACACCGTTCTTACTGCATTTTTAAAAAAAATCTCTACAATGGAGGTGTTGAGTAAAATGACAAATACTCACAATGGATGGAATTATGAGAATAACAGCCAGGTTGATAAATATTTGTAGTGTTTCCTTTTCTACCTTCAGTGCCTCAATTTTCAGAGTCATTCATTTAATTTCTTTCAGGCCCCATCTCTGCCAACTTCTCTGCACTGTTGACCTATTCTCTTAACCCCCAAATATGTTATGTATGTAATGTCTTTCAGGCATTTTGGACACAACATTCATTTCTAAAGGGAGATTATATTTCCCCTGTTTCTCTCTTTATGTACTTATCCTTGAATCTACTCTATTCTATTTTGTTCTGCTGGTCTCTCTCTCACTCACACACACACACAGACACACACAGACACACACACAAGCAGAGGCATGGCAGCTTGGTCCTCTACATGCCTCTCTTCATCTCTCTAAGCCTCCTCTCTTCCCCTCTCTTATCCAGGTGCGAGCTATGCGTCTGTCATTTGTCGGAGAGCTCGGCTGGGAGCTGCACATTCCCAAAGACTCTTGCCTTCCAGTCTACCATGCTGTCATGGCTGCTGGTGCAAAGCACGGCATCACCAACTCCGGCTACAGGGCCATCGACTCACTCAGCATAGAGAAAGGTAACTTCCAATAAGACGTCATGAATAATGTAATCATATCCATAACAAATCCAGCCAGTAAAATAACCCTGTGGTGTGTTACCACAAGAGCCACCTCTCACGTTACATTTTTTCCATTGTTGATAACATAAATATTGATTAGAGCAGCATAAACACTTTTTTTGCTCAAATCCCCATCTTATGTTGCTTCTCATATTTTATGTCTCAGCTCTTTCTCTCCCTCTCTTTATCAGGGTACAGACATTGGCACGCTGACCTTCGCCCAGATGACACACCTCTGGAGGCGGGGCTAGCCTTCACCTGCAAACTGAAGAGTTCCATCCCGTTCCAGGGCCGTGATAGGCTGGAGAAACAGAAAGAGGAGGGGCTGAGGAGGCGCATCATCTGCTTCACCATTGATGAGTATGTAAAGCCTGACATTACAAGCTAGTCAGAAAGAAATTCATGAACTGGACAAAGTTTCTTTACAATATCAGAAATTTTTCACATAGTGGGAAATTTTAGAAGACAAAAAATAATTCTCAAATAAAGCTTCATGTATTGAAGCCACTTTAACGTCTTAGATTCCCAAGATTTCCATTTTCTTTGGCAAATACAGGCCCAAACTGAAACTTTGGATACATTTATGACTTTTTCTTGTAGACTTTTGTCTGAAAAACACAAAACATTCAAAATATTTGACTTAATTTAGATTGTAAGATGCAATGTCAAATGTCTGCTCCGGAGATGCAAGCACCCAACAGCAGTTTGCTATCATAAAAACATTACTTTTTTGTGTGAAAGAGACATTGTCAAAGTTGGCATATTCTGTTTGGGCCCAACATCCATGATTAGTGTGTATGTGTTTGTCTGTCTCTCTCTCTATCTCTATCAGGAAAGTACCGATGTTCGGTCTGGAGGCCATTTTCCGTAACGGCGTTCCCGTTGGTCACCTGCGGCGTTCTGACTATGGCTTCTTTATCGACAAAACTATTGGCTATGGATATATCCGCAGCCCTGATGGGGGAGTGGTAAAGACATTAGACACACAACACTTACACATATACTCGCACACTGTGTCCTTATCAGTAATGTCTTTAATTCTTTCATACCTTTGTTTTGTTTCCTGGGCTGTTGTCTTTTGTGGTCTCATATTCTGCCTAATTTTTTAAAGAAAATCTTTTTACAGTGAGGTGAGATCCCACTTGTCTACAATTGTTCTGTGTATTGATTAGCAATGTGCAATAAAATCTTGACAAGAAGACTGAAAAAGGACAGATTGCTTCACTAGCACCAAGAAAATAACTTTATTCTACAAAATTAAGGTGAAATGATCAGACAAGTGTTAATTCAGTTTTCTTTTTTAATGACTTGAGGACTCAATAATAGATAATTTGTAAATATTATTATAATAGTATATGATCATATTATAATGGTATATGATAATACTATTATTGTTATTGATATTTAATATTATTTGGCTATATAATTTCCCTAATGCTTGGAATGAGCACATACACTTAACCAGAAAAGTACTGTATTTATGTGGTGTAAATGTGAGCGTACTTCAGGTATTTTCAGCTGTCAGGTCCAGATGGTAACAGATGGAACATCAGATAAGAAGAAGGAGGAGGCAAGAGAGTCGTTATCGTTATTATTATTGGTTGAAGTGGTTGGCTCCAAAGCAAAGACTGTGTTTTAGATTCTGAAAAATAGAACAATCCTTCTGTGATTTGTCAGAGTATTTAGATATATTTAGATATATGAGTGTGTGCTCAGTAGACTCACATGCTGTGCGTGCATGTGTGTGTGTGATAACATGTCTGCCTTTGTGTTTCTGTGTGCTCATTTGTTTAATATCCATCCCCGAGTTGTAACCAGGGAAACAAAGCGGATTGACCGTTAGCTTTGTCGAGCACTTTAGTTTGGAAATTCACTGTGTGGACAAGTGCACAAAGACAGAGACACACACACACGTGCATTCATGTGCACACACAAGTCTTTGGTATCTAATCTCCTGTCACTTAGCATTACACATCACTTCCCCTACAATCACACCACTGGCTTCTGCAGGGGGGTGTGTGTGTGTGTGTGTGTGTGTGTGTTTTAAGTGTCTTCTTTCCTAAGAAGACCTACACGAGAATATGTCAATGCTAAGTCTGTACTGCATAACCCTTAACAAGTTGAATTGTGCTTTGGAAATCATGAAGCGCCTACTTGCAGGAAGGCACCTTTGCGATAAATGTCTGCAGTAGGTGCTGTTAATGAATTGTAACTGATTTCTTTTAATTGAAATTAATAAGCACACTTATATTTCATTTTGTGTTGTAATAGGAACAAATGACAAAAAAAGTTTGTATTTAGTTATAGAATGAACTTAATTTCCCCTCAGAAACCTGGGATCATGTACTGTATGTATCTTCATAGAATACAGTGATATTGGCAACAGGCTGCAGGGTTGGTTCGGGGACTTAGAGGATTGTAAGGGAGCACTGAATATGGCCAAATACAGGTACATTATGGATCCGTTGGCTGGTCGATGTACCTGGCCTTCGGTCTCAGTTCATTGGAGTGTGTGTAATACTTGCCCATTCAAACTCAGGTAAGGGCATCAACCAATGTCAAATGGCTGCTGACGTTTTAAGCTGGAGCGAAAGCGGCTTTGTTCTTGAATAAGGTTATCAGTTAAATAGAGCCTTTGACCACAATACTGCTCCATCTAAGTGGCGATGAGAGGTGTGTGTGTGTGTGTGTGTGTGTGAGAGACAGATTGACAGATCAGTGGGAGAACTGCAAGGGGGAAAGGGAGTCAAAATTAGCTCTCTTGGTTACGAGGGAGCTGACATTGACTCATGAGTGAATGAATTGCTTTCAGCGTTTTATAACTCTTGCGCCGTTCTCTTCTGTCAGATATGAACGCCGTGAAATTGTCCGTTCTGGAGTGCTGTGCCAGTTGAGTTTTTGCAAAGAGTTTGGATTAATTGGCCACCTCATTTTCACTCTCACTTTTAATCTCCATGGTCCTCCTCATCTACCAAAATTTAAATTTCCACCACTCTCTCCTTTCCTTGCTCATCTCCCTCTGTCTTTTTTTTTTGTTTCCTTGCCTCTCATTTTCACCCCATCTCTCTCGCTCTCTCTTCCTGTCTTTACCAGGTGAGTGCTGATTTCATACAGAGCGGCAAGTTTACCCTGGAGAGGATGGGAGTGACGTACAAGGCCAAGGCCCACCTCAAATCTCCGTTTGACCCTGAGAATAAACGTGTCAAGGGCATCTATGCTTGAGAAGTACTGCAAATGTAAAAAACCTGAGCAATAACACTCTTGGTTGGAGAATGAGGCTGAGAGAGGTGCAACAGTTTTTTTTTTTTACATGCAGGTGCAGCTGTTTTAGTGTTTAATAAATGTCAAATGTTGATTGAATGTTGTTTTTATACCTGCTCTGGGTTTGAGCAACAGCGTTCAATATGAAGACAAATTCAAGAGTTGTGTTATCTCCACTAATCAAATTTTTTTTTTTTACCCGTACAACTGGGTCAACTGAATGTAAAAATTAATTTTTGATCATGGATTTATCTTAAGGACTCAAATAGCAGCACATGATCCATTTTTAATTTTAGAAATAGGAACTAAACCGAACAATCTTTGTGTCCATCAACATTCATACAGGCTAATTCAGAATAGTGCCTTAATCTGTAACTACTTAATGTCACTGGACATTTCAAGTGGCAAGGTTGCATGTATGATTTTTTGGCCATGGAGTACTGTATCAGGGAATGGAAGTATTATCAAACTACTAGCCCTTCAGGCAGTTTGACTCAGATTACAGTGACTGATGTTTGTACTGATGATGATAATGTCTAAAAACAGAGTTTTACTCGCTTGTATGGTATCTAAATCTTAGGCAGACATCCTGAGTGTTTATCAGAGTTGCAGGGAAAGGGAGAAAAAACACCCTGAGGCACAGTGCACCAGCTGGGGACATAACACTGCTGGAGAAAAATGACAGAAAAAGACAAGAGTTATCAGAAAGCAGCTGTTACAGCAATGCTTTGTTTTCTGATCTGTCCCCTGGTTGCTTTGCTCTGCGGTGATAAACTTCTGTTGCTGCTATCGGCAAACTCAGTTCTCTGTTTTTTTGTAATAAATACATTATGATTTAATATGGCTATCTATCAATTCAGGCATCCTTAGGAGTTCTCATTTTGTCTTGTTTTGCTGTTAAATCAAACTCAACACATTGTGCATCTGCTTCACGTTCAAGCCCTCCCAGCAGTTCATGGGGCATACTCGCTTCTTGAGTACTTTTTCTGTGAAGCATCAGCAGCATATTTAAAACCGTCTTAGTCCCTTTAATTACTAATTAGTACTTAAAATTCAAAACATGAAGTTAGTACAGTGAGAATAACTGGACTTTAGTGTAGGACTTGTGTGATTAATATGTAAATGACCCTGAATCAAGTGTGTGTGTGTGTGTGTGTGTGTGTGTGTGTGTGTGTGTGTATAAAAACTTTTTTTGTCGACAATTCATGGTTGCTGGAATGGAAATGTCTTACTATGCTTTCAGTTTTAACAGGGAAAACTGTGATTAAAAAAACAAGAAGAGAAATCACTAGTTAAGCACCTTAATAACTGATTCATGTCTTTTAATGCAGGTGCAGGTATGTGGATGTGAAATGTAGTAACAAAGATAAAACACCTATTATTCATTATATTTTCCACACAAGCACAGTTTAGGCCAAACAAAACCAAAGTTCATCACATGCGCTTTGTGAACAGCAGCCAAAAAAGTGTGTCAAAGCAGAAGAAGGCATTTGTATGTACAGCTACTATTACCCCTCAGTTTTGCTGCACGTTCAGCACAAAATGTTTACTAATGTGGAGTGATTCATTGATTTGCCCGGAGGCCATTAATCATTGAAATGGTTGTTCACAGTAGAAGCTTAGGTTAATAGCAAGATTATATGGGAAATGTGAAACGGACAGATAAAACACTGTCACTACTGGTACCCTACCACAATATGTCCACAGGTATTTTCTAATTCAGTTTATACAATTCCTCTTCCTTCCGATAGTGATGTGAATATTGCAAATGCCTCTATGATAAAAGCAGGTAAAGTTAATTCTTAAATGCTAAAAGTGTAACTTTTCAATGCTGAGCTATTAAATACAGTTCTTAAAATTGTTATCCTTGTTGTTATTATTGTCTTAAGATAATTTTTTGACCAGTTTAAAGAGCAGAAATGACCAATGGAAAGATATGATTCATTTATTCTGTCCAAAACAATTTGTGTATTAATAAATTCCCTTTTAACTGCCAACGTTTTTGTGACATTTATTATTTAACACATACAAATAATGCAAGAACCCACGGGCATGTCGCAAAACAGGGTGAAAATTACAAGTGTAATACTATAAAAAGTGATGGACTGTTATTACCACTCAAGCCGGTGATTATGAAACAGTTTACTACAGAATGAAATGATTCCCCATATAGCATAATAATGTTTCATGTCATAATGGTGCTTGTTAGTATTATCACAATCATGGGGAACAAAATGCAACAAAATAAATGTTGAAGGAGTAGTTAGTAGGAGTAGGAGTAGTCTCTTTGGGCTGAAGTGTGCCCTGATGCCCCCTCACTCAGACTGGGGGGTGAAGGGTCGGCTGGTGGGAAGTGCTCCTCCCTCACAGGGGTAGCGAGGTTTTTCAAGGATGGAGTTAACCACTGGTATAGGCTGTTTGTCCCACTCTCCCTGGAAAAACAGATATATGATGTTGGAGATGGGTTGTTTGGTAAAAAACAAAAAAAACAAAGGTAGTGTCCTTGATATTTAGACAGCAGTTTTTATTAGGTAACTGCACATAGTTGACATTACACAATGTATCAAACACGGTACGTCTTCAAAAACTACACTTGAGAGGGCAATTTTTGTGTATTTTTTTATGGACAGCTTTAAGACTGTAAAAAGGCAGCTTTATTCCCTTTTCTCAAGGTCCAGTTCTCAAACGTTACAGTAGCAGTGTTTTTGTGTGAAATTCATCCTTCCAGTTTAGTGTTTTGCCAGTTGCCAGTCTGTCAATTTATTTCTGCTTGTAATGTCGCTGCTGATCATTTCCTCATTCTCAAAACAGGTGTTCATCATTAGGCCCTCCAAGCAGTGGAAGACGGGACTCTGTCAAGTGATGGCAGGAAGGTAAAACTGGTGTACCTGTGTGTGTCCACAGCTAAATTTAAATGTCAGCAATAACTAAGAAATCTAAAATGACTGCGCTGTATGTTGTGTATGTCAGATGTTGCAGTTGGGTGAGGTTGAGAGGGTAAAATGCTGGTCACTTGGGCAGTAGGAGAGTCTGAGGCTGTGGCTTTCACTTGGTGATTTCAGCTTTAAATTGTCTTTATTTAACTTCACAAGCCTTTGCCTTGTATTCGTCCTGGTTTGCACATGCACAACTGAAGTCACACATCAAGGGGAAAGCTTTTTCTGACAAACAACCTCTACACAGTTTTGAGCTTTAATTGATTTATTGCTGCTGATCCAAACATTGTGTGTGTGTTTGTTTATATTACAAGTTAACAAGCTGTCTGTTCATCTAACAAATGTCTGCGTTTTGAACTGGGGGCTTGGTGGCAGTGGATTGTAGCATGGTGTGTGCGATTGGGGACTTACAGGAAAGAGGCGTGCAGTCGACTGATTGCAGTGCATGGAGATGGGTGCTGTATTATAAAGGGAGTCCAGCACTTCTCCAGTGAATGCGTCCCACTGTAGCTGAGAATACTGCTCCGTCACACTAACCTCTCCACACACAGTGGTCATTTCCGTGGAACCTGGAGGGAGGAGAGAAAGAGAGAGGGGTTGAAGGAAAGTCGATAAAAAGGGAGGTAGAGTGAGATTGAGAAAGGAGGAAGAAATTGGAAAAAAGAAGCAGTCAGAATTGGCATTAGGAGAACACAGTTTCACTTTAAAGGACAAGCATCTGGTTTTCGAGATTAAAAGAAGTAATCACTCTGGTTTCCCGGGAGCGAGGATGGTGGGGGAAGGGATGAATGCTGAAACCAAAATTGCTTAGTCACACAGGAGATGGGGGGGAAGATGCAAAATGAAAAATAGAGAGTGAAGGACAAGGGAAACAAGCAAATGATTTTTGGGGGAGAAATGATTTGTGCGTGTGCTACCTGTTAATGAAGTTGAAGTATTTCTGCAGGTATCCTGGGTCACATGGCTCTTGCACAGCTCCAGCTTAGTTCGAGGGTAGTAGTGAATGTAGTTAACACACATTTCCTCCATGATGCCAAAACCTCCCTGAGGAGACAAACAGATGAGGATGGGGAAGCATATATATATATATATATATATATATATATATATAACAAAGCAGGTGTAGGTATTAAGGGGTAGAGATGGAAGGATTACGAGGATGAAGGGAATATGGTGAGTTTGAAGGAGTGAGATGGCAGGGGAGAGATTAGAGACAGAAGTGCTCAAGGTTATTCAGTGGTTGTTGACAGTGCTGAAGGTGAACTTTTACAATATAAAAATAGTCCTGTATATTTATAGTGTGCTGCTCACCACTGTAGGCTTGCTCCTGTCTTCTGTGTTATAAGTACACTTTGTTATGAGGACGTCGCCCTGCAGGATCAAGCACAAACACACCAGCACTTCAACATATCTCAAGATTAACATAAGACCACTGAAAATAATATACTATTACCGGTATGGACAGAAGCCTTGTTATTTAAGACAGCCAACAACTGGCTGTCTTAAATAGAATTCTGCTTTGAGCTCAGCTGCTGCGGTTTTGTCTTGTTCGTCTCCCAAGAACTTCCTATCACAACGCTTACAGCCTGTATATATTTACACTTTACACACCTTTTGCTGCATCAGTATTTTAATTCAGTACTTTAAATGCAGTGTGTGGGGGGGGTGCAGGCAGGCAGGCAGGCAGGCAGGCATCTGGAGCACTACAATCCTGAAGTAGTTGGCTGAGCTTGCAGAACAGTAAAAGTTCTGTTCTTCTCTATCTATCAATATCAATTTTATTTATATAGCACACTTAAAAACCAAGGTTGGCCAAGGTGCTTCACAGGTTAAATACAACAACAAGACACTACTCACACAGTAACGTACAGCAATAAAACATTATATATACAGTATACGATATATAGTGATATTAAAATTGCCAGGAATAATAACAGACTTAACTCGAAGGAAATGCCTTTGGTTATTTTAAATGCAGTTATTGTGATCGACTTTATACTTACGGGTAAAACATTGGCCATTTTCCGTAGAACTCGAATCGTCTATGAGACAGAAGACAAAAGAGATTGAGTAAATTAAAGTGAAAATCCACCCAGCATTAATTTTTTGGATTCGGGTATTCTTCTATCAGGACATGAAAACATGAAATGACTAGAAATAAGTATGTAACACAAACACTGACAATGATCTTAGTGGAGTGAACAGAACAGTGGTTTCTTTAAGTTCCTCAAAAGTCTCAATAGAATTCCATTTTACCATTGGATATATATTTTCCCAATGCATTTCCCTCCATCTGTACGGTGGATTTATTTCAAACACAGAGAGATTAAACACTGGTTGCTTTTCTTTATGCTTGTCTTGGAGGCAGCTTTCATACTTATTAGCTGTGTGTGTGAAAAGATCTATTAGCTTTGCTGAGAATGGTTTGATAAAGTCTTCATGTGCCTAATTAGGCTTCAGGGTTGGAAACAACACCGTCACACAGGTACACTCAGATGAGTCTGACATCAACAGCAGCTGGAAATGTTTATCAAGCAGTCTAGCAGATGTCCTTCTCTGTTCTGTGTGTATGTGTGTGTGTGTGTGTGTGTGTGTGTGTGTGTGGTGGGGGTGGTTGGGAGGGGGCAGTTAATTGGGGAAAGGCTGATTGTTTTGTGCAGTTAAGGTTAGAGTTACGGTTAGGCAAGTATTGTGTGTGTTCGGTATGGTCGGATTTGGCACTGACAACCATAGACAGTTTATTATGGACAAAGCCACCCCGCTGATTTAAATGGAGAGCAGTGAAGCCAGTTTTGGACCAGTAAAATACTACTAGAGGGCTACCTGTTGGCACCAGCGTCTACTGCACATGATCGCGCAGCATAACCGTGGTTTAATGACTTAGAACAACGGCAGAAACAAGTTTGGTAGCTGCATAGCTGCGCCAAAAAAGTTTCACGGCTCAGTGTGCTTGTCTGACTCGGATCGTCACTGTTTAATCAGCCTACCTACAAGGTTCACCTGCCAACACCAACGCAGCGTATAGTTGTTTTCTTTTTTCTCCGAGAGTTTATAATCTAAGCAATACGGTTACATCTCTCATGTGCGATGGGTTTCACAGGGTTTTGACGTCATTTTTGGGCCTACATGGATCCCTCCATACAGTGTTTTATTAAAAGTGTTTTATTAAAGTATCTTACAGTCACCAGGATGGTCTAAACATCTAAACATCTGGAATTAAGTCAAAATAATAGGATGATGTTATGAAGCAGCAGTTCTGAGCAGGATATTTTTATTAGGCTATAATTAAAGAATATGACAGTAGTTTGATGTCTTGTCATTATGCAGCTATTATTCTGAATTGGTAGGCTACAGCCCCTACTCCTTATTTCTCTCATAATACAGAAACGGGAGGGGGGAGGTCACATTAAACTAAAAATAAATATGTAAAAGTATTGGTATCGGTATCGGCAATACCAGCCTGGGTATTACTTGGTATTGGATCGGATAGGAATTAAGTGGTATCGCACATCACTACCATGAAGGTTTTGGTCGGCTTCACTGTCCGATCTCTGGCTTACCCCTTGCTGACAACATGTACGACTGAACCCAAGCCGTGTTTGCCAGCTTTTCGGGACCGTCCTACTCTGCTTCTGATTGGCTAGTAGTCCTTAACTAGGTACTGCGCATGTGCAACTCCCAACAAAGATCTTGTAGAAGAGAGACGCTTCACTCCGTAGTTCAAACGGAGCGTTCAACACACAGGGTGAAAAGAGGAGCTGCCGCAATGTGCAGTATGACAAAAAATATGGTGTTTTTTGAAAATGAAACCATGTACACCTGTTGTGGTACAACCCCTAACTAAGATTTTGAACCTGAAAATGAGCATAATATAACCACTGTAAAGGGGCAGCAGCGCGGTTTTAAGATTGCAGCCAGGTTCAACCAACTTGAACTCATTGAACTTGACTCATGAACATGAACAACTTTTTCCTCTTCTGTCATGGTGGTGGAGTTAGCCGCTAGATTGGCGGAGGAGGAGGCGATCAGCGCCGTGTTGTTGGTAGAGGCGGAGCTCTGGAAGGAGCTCTGGAAGGAGCACTGGTGGGTCCTGTCAGCGATGCAAGACATCGTCCGGACGCTGTCTGGCCTGGCTTTACTAAGGTGGTGAGGTTGGGCTGTACAATGCCACTCCCTTTACCCATTTTTTAAAAGATCACATGGACATTATTTTCATTTAAACACAAATAATTAGAAACTCCTCTTCAACAAGTACACAACAGATCATGAAGTATGTGATTGTAATTTTCAGCTTGTTATAAATGTATATATAAATATGAATATATGGGTCACTGACTGCAAAATCAGAGACACAATCCAAGACTTGATTGTAATGAGATAGCAGGTTTTTATTTTAAAGGACGTTGTAGAAGCAGTCAGTAGAAACAGCTAGCTTCAGACTTCAGATTCAGGATAATCTTTGTCCCAGTCGCACACAGCTCCGTGTAAAGTAAGACTAACTTTTATCCCATCTAATACAATATAAGCACAAAGGAGTTCCTCTGGGTAAATCCTGCTGTTGCTCACCTGGTAGTGGGTGCTGAAGTGCTGGTCCTCCTGAACCACCTCCAGCTCTTTGCCTCCCCTCACCAAAACTGTCCTGACCCCACGCCCCGCCAGTGGGTGTGCAGCTGGGACGCAAATATATAGATTCCTCCTGGAGGCAAAGCCTAGATAAAACAGGCAGACAGACAGAGAAACAGACTTTTAGGGTCAAGCTCCAAAAAAGTGATTTTATGCTTTAAGATTCAAAACTTGAAGAAACATGTTTTAATATATTTGTGTGTATACATACAGTCCGGGTACACTTAGAGGTGCAATATCCATTGAGGTAGAAGGTGTGTTGTTTGGGTGGGATAGCCATGACAGGAGTATAAACAAGGCCCAGCTCCATGATCCCTGCATCGTACCGCCTCAGACTAGGGTGTAATGCAACCTTATCCCTGATGAGTCACGACGGCCTGCGTGAGAATTATCGTGGAATGTTATAATATATCATGCCGTCACTTTACTAGTATCATATTAAAATACAGAATAATTTTGCACTAAACCAGGCTATGAAGTATGTATGAATGTATGAGAAATATATTTACTGCAAGGTGCTGTTCACCTATAGACAGTGTTGGGAAGGTTACTTGTATTGGAAATGTAATAGGTAACAAGTTACCCTATTTAAAATGTAATCAATTCAATAACTTTATCAAAGTAATGTAACTTTTTACATTTAATTGCTTTTTGATTTCTATTAAATGTTTTCAACCGTTAACCATTTTCAAAAGACTGCTTGAGAGGCAATTTAAATAGCAGACGGGCGGGCTACAAACTCAAAAATGAGAACCAATCAAAAGCATCACAATAGCAAACTTAACTAAAGGGCTGTGGCTGGAAATATCAAAGGAAGACATTGCATGAAAAACAAAATTAATATTATTCAACATATAGACTAGCATTTTACAGAAAATTTTCAGATGTAATGAATGAAATCATGAGCATTTTCTGGAACTGTAACAGATTACAGTAACTATATAACATGTAACTAGTTACTGCCTCTAGAGCAACAAATATAAGATTGTGAATAAAACAATACAATAGAAAATCAGCAGAGAAATTATAATGTCACAAAAGAATTTAATGGGTGTAATGTGTGCTCTCTATCTTTGCCTGGTAAACAAACATGCTGCAGCATTTTGATTCACCTGGCGTTTATCTGGACTGTTAAGCCTACCAAGGACAAAGCTTGCTGGAGAAAAAAAAAACCCAGACCCCACCCCGGTCTGGCAATATTCCTAAGATGTTATGAGCTGTTCTGGTGATACTACTGAGATTAGAAATTCAAATCATGTGGTTTAATTCTTCAGTTTAACTCCTGCTAGGGGTTTTGTTGCATGCCACCCCTTTTCTCTCTGTTCCCTCATATATTATTTCTCTGTTGTCAACCCTAAAATGCATAAAGTGCTCCATACATACTTAAACTAAACAGTTCAATCAGGATCACTGAGCACAGCACTGTTGCTATGGCTCGATTATTGGTGTTGTTTGCTCTATCTCTTTTGAACTGCAAGACAGATTGAAGGGAGACGAGAGATGATGAGCCGTAACAGACAACTTCAAAACAAAACAAAAAAGATATGTGGAGAATTAGAAGATGGTTATGTAGGATGTATGCGTATTGTGAGGTCAGATCAGGATAAGGAAGGCAAAGTCTGTAGTGACTCGTGCAGGCGAGATCAAAAGGTATATCTGGAAAATTTTAAATGAATCGCTCTGTTGAAGATAAGGCCGGCGCTCATCTGGGAGATGTGGAGAATCCTGGTGCTGGTGTGTGTGTGTTTCAAGAGAAAGAAAAAGACATAGGGCACGTGTAACAGTATTTTGCTAGGGTTATGTGTTTACGTGTGCACTGTGTGTACCAGATATAAGGAGAGGGTTGTGGTAATGGACCTCCAGACGAAGGAACCTAGAGGAACCTGGTCCACCCATAGGCAGCCCTGCATCGGGAGGATAGTAAAAAGCCTGCGAGCAAACACACAGACATTATTCATTATGCACAGCTACTTTAAATTTGTAGCAAAGACTCTTCTTCACGTATCGTCCAGATGATTTAGAGCCGTTGAATAAAAATGTATTAAAAGTCACAATACAGCTGCATTTTATTCCTGTTTTTATTTTTTTACAGAAACTGTAGGTTTGATATCTTCGCAATTATAAGTATTACATGTGAGAGTCAGAAAGATTTTGTCTAAACATGGCCACTTGTGGAGGTTAAACAAAATTATAATCACACGCCTTTGTCTTAGCATCGTTGCTCATTCTGGACAAAGCAGGCATTGTTAGAAGATAACAAAAAGAAGTCACACAGATGTATATTCCTGTGCAAGTGTGTGCCAATTAAGCTTTGAAGGACATGCATGTGACAGGTGTTTGTCAAACTTCTGAGAAAGTTTAATTTCACCCACCGTAAGGTGTCTTAAAATCCTACTTAAGATGTGCTCTCCTGTCAAAGTGGTTTATCTAAGGAATCGCAATTGTGTCATTACATCTTCTTGCCCATCCTACAGAGATAACAGGTAGCTTTCTCTAGCTCTAGTGTTGTTCTCTACCATTTTCTGATAATGACCTCTAAAAATAAAGGTATGCCTACTCACAAACTCCCAACCATACATCAACAGCAACAGACTGTAAGAATATATATTAGATATTAGATTATTAATACTGAATATTGTTTTTAAACAGATTATAATTCAGAAAACTGAGCATCAGCACGTAAATTTAAATCATTTCAATCTTTGCATCAGCTATGTTCCTTGTTTGGAGCCTTTAAATGTCTTTGAGGCCTTTTGGGAATCAATGATCTGGCTCAAAAAATGTTTATTGATTATTTATACACCGAGAAAGGTTGTATTCTCATATGGATGGGCGGGCCCCCAGGGATGCTGGTTGAACTTGTGAGGTATATTTTCTTGTAAGGTGGTCTTTTTTCTTTTTCTCCAGTCCTACTCTTTAGACATACGTCATGCAGATGTGTTATCCAGATCCCAATGCAAGTAACTGTTAAGATACTGATAAGTGTTTCTTCAAATTTGATATCTCTGTCTCTCTTAAATTGCTTCAAGTTACCAGTTGCTGAGATGGAATGTGAGGCCACAAGGTGAAAGGAAATGTGAACAAGGATTAAAGTGGCTTTGTATTGTGAGCTTACATTAAATATTGATGCATTAATATAAAACATTAAATAGTTATGGAATTTTTAATAATGTGGTAGGGCCTCTGCCGGGGCTAATGTGTGTGTGTTCTTGTGTTGGTGTGTTTATTTTGCATTGTTGTAGTTAATCTCGTGTCTTTGCCAGCTGCATTTGTTAGAATCAACATTTTTGTTACATTTGTTTGTCTAAATTACTTTTGTTCAATAAAATTCCTTTCTTTAAGTTAATCCCTCACATGTGTTTCCCCACATTAGCTATGGTCTCTGAGCCGGGCCTTAAGTCTTCCTCTTTCACTTCTTGGATTCTGAACTGTTCTGTTTATTGTAGCAGGAATATATTTTTGAGTCACTGCTGGCGCCATGGGCATCAAATCTCCACGCTATCACCAAGGAATCTTGATTTAATCAATTCATCAGTGTCCTCACCTATTTCAGGGAGGTCCACCTTAAGCTACATCTGCTGATACAGTTTGTAATGGAAGAAAGAATTGTCTTATTTAATCATATCGTAAAAGTAAAATCCTTAGAGGCTTACTTTCTTCCCTACACACACGCACACATTTCTTTTTCTCTGGTGCTGTCCTTTGTGTCAAACATTATTGTTTCTCTCCTCAACCAAACTTCCCCCACTCCATTTTCCGCTTTCTCTCTTGTTTGTGTGTTTGCACGGCCACGTTTCCCTTCTGATGCGATGCCGGGGAGAATGAAACAACACTATTAAGAGGTGATGAAAGAGGCCTGAATATTTCCCACCTAATCTTGTCTTCACAGCTCACAGCTCAGAGAAGGCATCCTGCTTGTTTTCGTTTGGCTGGCAGATAATCCAATCAGAGAGGGGCCAGGCTGGCCGTGATACAGTGGGGAGCAGAGCTGAGAAATATGGTGACAGGCTCACCGTTCCCTGTCCGCTTTGCTTTATGTGACTAGCAGGCTGCTTGCTTGCTTGGTCAGCCGGCTGGTTGGTAGCCATAGTACATAAGTGGGGTGATTTAACGCCTGATAGATTACTAACTGACTAGCTGGCTGAGGAAACAGGTGTGGTTCTCCTTTCAGGACCTCTGCATTAAAAAGAAGTGAAATTATTTTGTTCCCCATCTCAAATCTGGAAAACTCCAACTCCAGTAGTTGCTGGGGTTTCCATTTGCTAAACAAAAATCAACTAATGGAATGAACAATTGTTTTGTTTTTGTTGTGTGTTTTTTTTTTACTACTGGCTGACTAGTGTGCTAGCTGACTGTCGGGGCTGTAGTCAGGATTTTACAAATACTCATAAGTGCCCCTCAGAGAATTTCAACCAGACTCCAAGAAAAAGCCTCTAAAATATTTTAATTCTTATTAGATTTTTCATACTTGATTTTTTTCAGTTAACTAAGAGGTGGATCTCACTGCATGATAATAAAATGTGACAACATACTGAATCATTCTATTCTATTTTATTTTATTTACCTAAAAGTATGTAGAATAATTATGATAAGGTTAGCAAACAGTTGCCTATAGTACACATGGACTAACATTAGTATTCATTTAGAGTTGCGCTACTGACCACCTGATGATCTAAGTCTAATACTCGCTAGAAATGGCATTGATTAGAATGGAGTTGGTGGGTGGGAAAATGTTAAACAGTAAGCAAAAAGAGGTTAAAACATGTAGAACCGAGGGAAACTGAGGAGTTTCGGCACTTCAAACAACCCATTTCAAAGTACTTGTCGTAATTTTTTGTTACTACTATTAATATAATTTGAAGTAGTTGAACTTTAAATATAATATATATTTAAGAGCCTAAAGAACAAAGAAACATTTGTATTTCTTTGTCCTTTATATTTTTGCAATATTTATGCGCTAGTTAGCAGATTAGATGGTTGAATGAGAATTTCAGCCAAGATGAAACCTTTTCTGCCTTTTCAAAGCTACCAATGTACATTAGCATGTGGTTTTCAATGAAAGTATTTGCATGTGAGTGTGCTTCCCACGTACAGACTGTCTCTGAGCTGTTAATAGACTTGTGCTGCATGTGGGATCGTATGTTCAGGATTTTCTTAGTTTTAGGCTTGGATATCACTCGCGTAGGAGTTCCAACTCTTTTTCAATTAGACACCTGTTATGTGTATTTAGAACTTGTCAATGCATGTGTTTATTCTGCTTTATCTGATGGTGTTTGTGAGGGTGCTCCTCTATTGTTAGTTATAGAAGATCTGGATGTTATGTTTGATTGTCAGTTTCAATCTTAAATCTTTTGCAAAATGATGGCATTGTTATTGTTACAGCTTCAAGGGTCAGTTTTAGGGTCAGGACTTGAACGTTTTTGTATGTTCAGGTAAGTGTTGAGGATATGCTTCCAGCTCAGTGTTGGTTTAGGGAACAGGGGGTGAATACAAACAGTAGAAGGTGCTCATCGGGATAGAAGTAAGACGATGTGTGTGGGTGTCTTGTTTCCCATCATACCTCAGCACCCATAGCCCATGCGGCTAGCACATGGCGGCAGAAGTTGAGCTTGCCCGGTTTCATCTTGTCATCACAGGAGCCGCTGTACTCTGGAACATCGCGAATGTCCGGTGAACATTCAAACACTTCTATGTGATGCACGATGGCCTCGTTACCTAGAGTTATCACTGACTCATACTGACAGAAAAAGAGAGAGGTGGAAAAAGAAAGATGTGGAAAGGAGAGACAGTCATGTTGTCTTATGTGTTTTTACTGCTAAAAGGTCTGGCAATATGGCTCCCTTAGACATGTATGTCAATAAAAACATCAATTAAAAATTAATTATATGTAACATACAGTGCAGTAGCTTCAATAGCTTAATCTACTGTGTGGGTTTTTGTACTGGATCTGCTCACATTTATTCATATCTATTTATAGATCAATAAATAAGGAAGTGATGTGTTTGTTGTGTTCATACGTTTTCTTAGATTTGTGTTTCTTCTTTCTATCTATGACAACTTGGCTGTTAGACCCAGCTGGTAAACAAGGAGCAATAATAGCTCCTTGTGCACCATCTCCATCTAAAACACCCACTCTGTGTGTACATAAACTCCATGTTAAGTGTTTCTACTTTTAGAGGCATTCATACCATAACAATGTGATTCTTGGGCATGTTTTCTGGCAGCTTCTGTATGAAGCACCAGTACGTGGTCTCCTGGTTTGGTATGATGACATTTGGCGCAATGACATCCAGCGTCTGCACATCTGGAGGCAGGGTGGGTGACGGCATATCGGGGCGCAGCATCAGGACTCTCTGTACTCCTGTGTTTATCTGGGACAGGTTCAGCTGCTCAAGTGAAGCAAGTGGTTGATCCAAGAATCCATAGATGATGTGCACAGTTCCCTCCTGACCAATTAATAAAGAAAAAACAAAGCATGTTTGATGGCTACAAAGCAGAACATGAGCAGCAGAGATGTGTATTTCAAAAAGTCTCTCATGATTATTATTTGGCTGAAATGCCTACTAAGGCAAAGACAGAGAACTTGCCACTATGTTGTCATAGTAATGAGCATTGGTTTTGTGTCTGCAACTTAGAGGTCTGATGTGGTACCATGGCAACCATAATCATTATAATGAATGCTTCAGAGTAAATTGTCTTGATCCTTCCAACTTTCTGAGTATTTTATGTCCACACCTGAAACCATCACACACACCCTCCCACACACATACGGGCACAGAGCAAATACTCGGCATCGTTCTTAAGGTTACACACATGAGTGCACTCAGACACCATCTTTCCCGCCTTCTTTCCATGTTCTTCGCGTCCTTGCCACCTGTTAGCTGTGAAGTTCAGTCAGTTCAGGACTGACAGACTTTATTTTTGCTGGAGACTGTGTGACCCATAAAGCAGCAGATGTTCTCGCCCTTTTGGCCCCACATGCACTCGGAAGGGGTAAAGTAAATGTAGACAATGATTTATTTAGCACTTTTATACAGGTAGGTATAGTTCGACGTGTTTAACAGGTGACAAATGAATAAGAAAGCAGAAGGATAAACGGCAACACAATGGGAGGGCATGAGGAAAGCAGAGCAAGTCACAGCTATGTGTGAACCCTCCTTTATTATTTAGAATAACTTATTGCAATTAATTCCTGGCAGATGTGTCTGCGAATGGAAGATTCTCTTTGAGGGTACCCAGAAGTCAAGAGTGCCCACATTGCTGTCAAAAAGCAATTTAAATTCACAATCCCACTCTGAAATGAACAGACCCACATTCTGCTCCCCTGGCATGCATACAGACACAGTGAAAGAAATACTTTACACACCTCTATGAGGTAGTCTCTGGGATCACAGGTGCTGAATGGTCTTTTGAAGAGCAGGTGGAATCCATCAGGTTTCTGTTTGGCTTCGATCAACTCGTAGTCTTGCTGGCTGTCCAGTGAAACGTGACCTGCGCTGTCGCTCCACGCATCCTGAAGGAGAAGACACACACAGCAAACCTATGAATATAACAAACACCAAATAGACACAAGAAAACAGTGAAGAGCGCTTGTTATGTTTTATTCATCACATAAAGTCATGATTTGGTGGGGCAAGGTTAGACTAACCATTTCTTAACTGCGGATTTGAGTAACAATTGAGGGAAACAGCTCATTTCCATTTAAAAAGATTTATGGAGGGGTGTGGTTTTGTTAAGTGAAACTTATTATTCAACCATTACTGAATCCATTTCAGGGAAGATGTGTCCATGCAAACCATGTTTTGAGAGTATACTAAACATGAAGTGCAGCTACAATTTTTTTTCAAATTATACTGTAGAAAAAGCAGTTGTTGAATTTTGCAGACAAAATGTTTGAAGGGGAAAGTTAACTGAGACAAAAAAGAAAGCTTTGTGCGGAAATGTCACTTAATTGTTGTCAGAGGGAAAATAACATTGCTATTGTTTCTTAATTTTAAAATGAGCAATACCAACCTACACCTTTGTAGTCGATAATGTTAACAGTGGATTTATGATACAGTCAATAGAAAGAAATCAGTAAACTGTGAAAGGTTTGTATTGTGAAACCTTCCCAATGCGGTGTACAAGATTCCACCGCTCTGCCAGGAGGCTTTGCAACAGCTCTGTCTACCCGCTTCTGTTATGTTTCTCACATTCATATCTGTCCAGAATAGCACCTAAGATCGCTCTCTTTATTTATGTCTGCCTCTCTGTCCCTCTTATATAAGTGTTCTACACAAACTGCAAAGATTCTGTGGCCAGTGTTTTTTAAAATACAAACAGTATATAAATCTAAAATAAAATGTGGGCAGTATCCAGTATGTCTTACATGTGTTACATGTCTGTGTACAAAATACACTAGATACAAACTGTGCAAATAGCTAAAAGACAGAGTCATATCTTGACGATTTAATTAGAAAAAACTCAAATTCTATGTCTTGAAATTGTTATGGTTATCTATACATAATTTTGTTCTGGCTTTTTTGCAGTCTGGTCAGCTGTTGGTGTAGTAAGGGGTATCGTATGGACTTGCCTAAATCTAATTTTGGATCATTAAGAAAAAATGGTTGGGTTAGGATAGCTTCACATTTTTTCAAGTCTATCTTATAACAATAATCACATGCGCATATGTACTCTGAAACAGTTTTTGGTCACTCCGATCATTGGTCTATTTTATACTGGCCTTAAAAAGATGATTTCCCATGTTTGCTCCTGGTATTAACATGTGATCTGTATCTGTAACAGAACGTATGTGGAGTCTGGTAAAAAAGATTGGATGCAAAATCCACAGGGTTTTTTTTTGTTATTGTTTCCCTGGACACGGTTTCCTTTCTGAGCTTCAAGTCACACCTAAACAAAGACAAGAGAGAGAGCAGGAAAAAAACTGTTTTGTGTCTTCATATCCCTGGTATGTTGGTACAAAATCTTAAAATCCAAGTCTCCATGGGCTGATTTGAATACATAGATTTAAAAAGGGATTTTAGGAGTCCCTGAACTGGATCTAAAATGTGCCTGGCTTTGTAAGAAGCAACGTGTGTGTGTGTGTGTGTGTGTGTGTGTGAGAGAGAGAGAGAGAGAGAGAGAGAGAGAGAGAGAGAGAGAGAGAGAGAGAGAAGGATTGACTAACTCAGCATTGACCTGACTTGTGCTGGTAATTTTGCACTCCTGAGGAAAGAGAGACAGGGTGGAAGCAATGATGATTTGATTTTAAACTGCAGGGATTTGATACTCTGGGATTTGGGTAACTTAAAGGTAAACCAGGCTGAGTTTAGAAATTAGGTAAAAAATGAATGCAGGGAAAGGAATGCCTGCGTGGTTTCCAGTTCTCCCTCATGCTCCTACAATAAAGAGTTTTTGCTCATAAAATACTTAACTAGCTACATTTATTTAAATGTAAATTTTTATTTAAATTACATTTAATAACATCAAATCACATGTTTAGATTTTAATACTGTGGCTGAACAGTTAAAAAAGTGGTAATAATTGGTCAAAAAAAGTGTAAAGGTTTTTAACAGAAGAAATCTGCTAAACAGTAGACCCCGACACTGGGACATCTTAATGTTGCCTTTTTAACATATAAACATTTTTAGTTAATGTAAAATTAGATTTATTTTGTACATTAACACCCTGGAGGCTGCCACTTGGTCCCAGCATTTGTCAACCATTAACCAACCAATCGGATGCTGGTAGATATAGTCTCAGTTCTTATGTTAATAATCTGACACAGATAAAGTAGAAGGAAAAAGAATCAGAAGTGATACTGGATCATTTTTTACTGCAGTTACTATTCACCTTGCTTACTGTTTCTCTTTAATATTGCCACATAATAATCCTATGGACAAAATGAAAAGTTAGGTAAATGGGAATTTTGTAGCAAGATGCATTTTAAAATGCATTTTTCACAAACCTTTATCAGGAGATGTGAGGGAAATAAATCTTAGATGAATTTGTTAAAAAGGCTTGTGTGTTGCAAAACGAAAACAAGGCATTTTATGGCATCTTAATCGGCATATAGGATTCAATTTTAATATGCTAATATCTGGTAATTATTCCCCCGATGAACTTCAGCTACTAGTGCAGTTTGAGTGATTTCCAATTAGCAGGGGCCGATAACATCCTTTGTGACTATGCGATTAGGAAGCAAGCCATACGCCGGCTCCTCGTGGAAAAACACCAATCTCGCGCCCCAGAGATCACAGACAGATGAGGAACACTAGGGAAACCTCTGCTCCACAAGGAATCCCAGAGCATTTATGAGTTTCACAAGTGAACATAGAGAAAAAAATGGAAGAGAGAGTGAGAAAAACAGTTAAATGATTTGATTTCACACCTGTTTGGAAATCTGCTTGATATCCTCATCTTCTGAGAGGCAAGTGTTGTTTTAGTCTGACTTTTTATAAATTTTACTCCCCAAATTCTTTTAAATTCAATAATCTGAAATATTATACATATAACACATATTCCAGGGCTACTTACCCCAAAGTAGCTATTGGCTCCAGAGTCCCACAGCACCACCAGGTCAGCATTTGTCAGCTCTCCGCGGTCAGACATCCCCAGGACCACCCCGTGTCTGAGCTCCATGACCCTGAGCTCCATGTAAACTTCCTGGTCGCTGTAGCTGATGTTCCAGGCCAGCTGGAGCTCCCCGCGTGGGTCAAGGGGCACCCGGAAGGGCATGGGGAGAGGTGGCAGAGGGCTGGAAGGCTTTGATTTCAGGCTGGAAACTTCGATAGCATTGGTGGGCGCCTGGTATGAAGCCACCAAAATGACCATTAGAGCTGCCAGGGCAGTTAAGTACATGATGGTGACGTCCTGAAGGCGAAGGTTCTTACTGAAGATCCTCATAGCCCCAATGATGGTTATCAATCAGCGTCAATGTAGTGGCAGACAAATTATCTCCAGATTTGTTTTTTATACTTTTCACCTCTGTTGTGTCTTTCGTTCTTCCTCAGTCTCTTTAGCCAGAGTTGATTTGGAGTTCAATGCAGAAAGTTTTGAGTAGGTTTCTTGTCCAGGGCAGTTGTAACAGTGCTGCAGTTCTGTATAAGCTTTAACTCTCCAAACTCAAACACTCACTGGTTTTGTTTGTCTGGTCAGCTCTGTTCTCTTTTGTGGCCACAGTAGACTCAATTTCTCCCTCGCAGCAGTCAGGTGAGGTTGTTTATTCCTTTCTTCCCATGTTTTCTATCCTCTCAGGCCCTTGTTTTCTGAAAAGTTTGACCTGCTTTTGAGTATCACCAACTTTCCTGTCTTTAGGTTTCTCTGTTTCCAAGACCTTGTGGGTATTGTCTCTTTCCAATGGGCAACTGCTCTGTCTCATCCCTCTCCCTGGTTTTTAAGAGACTCCTCCCTTGTGAGTTGTCTGTTTTTATCCAGCCTAATGGTATTACATTTGTTGAGGAAAATTGGATTGTATCCTTTAAGCCCTGGGGTCAACCATGATTCTGCACATCTGCCAGCCCCTAATTGATCTAAATTCAACCATGGACATTATCAACAACAATCTGCTTAGACTGACTAAACTTTATTGTGCGCTCCATCTCTGTCTTTTTTTTTTTGCTTTGGTGAGCATGCATTATACATTTTCTTGAACATTTCCTGACAAAAGGTATCCGGCACACTAAACCTTACACCTGGTTTGTTGGGTATTTGATTCAAAGTGGATTTAGAGGGCAGCAAGCATTAATGCATTAGGGCCCTTTCTTTAAGCCACCGCCTAAGGCTGCAGAAGACCTAATCAAACTGTCAATTATGGGTTTCAAAAGCAAGAGGGACACATTCAGGTTGGTTTCAAAGGTTAAAGCCCCTGTAGAAAAGTTAGTGTCCATCTGTGTGTTTGTATTTGGTGAAAAACAGGTGAGTTACAGCGGACAAATGGATTTAAATGGATTTGAAGAGAAATGAAACACTGCTCGTTGGCCTGTCCCTGCGCGCTGCACACATTTGTGAATCCATACAGTATAAAGATTACACACATGCAGGGAGCTTGACGTGACACAAAATTACAGAAATTACAGCAAAACAACACAGAGTCAAGAAAGAACTGTAGAAAATCAAAAGGTCAAATAAAGTTTGAAAGGCACAAACAGGTACAAAGTTATATAAAAACACATTTTAAAAGGGCTTAGTGAATGAAAACAAATATTGCACGAGTTAATTCTATTTGTAGCACCACCACTGGGGTTGCAGACACTATGTGACACAGAGAGTTGAGACTTCTCCATGTATAGTGCATTTGAAAATAATAACATTTAATACAGTAGTGGGGTGGCATGGTGGTGCAGTGATTAGCACTGTTTCCTCACAGCAAGAAGGTCACAGTTTCAAACCCCGGTTTCCTCGGCCTTTCTGCATTAAGTTTGCATGTTCTCCCCATATCTGCATCGGTTCTCTCCGGGCTCGCTCTCCTTTTTATATCTCTTTAATGTATGGATAGGGATAAGTACAGGATGTATGGATGGATGAGTGGACAATTTACAGTAAATGCAATCTCATTTGTGCAGTAGTTCATCACATCTCTTGTCATGTCCTGGTCAAAAGTGATCATTCAATACATTTCAAGTTCCTGTGACTTCCAGGGAAAGCTCATCATCACATGTAGGGTGCTGTAGAGTGAATGCAAAAAATGTGTGCGTCGGATTACATTCTGTACGTGATGTCAAACAGTTGATTCATTTTTCTTGAAGAGGCTCATGAAGGGAAAGGTTTGGATCTGAGCAGAAAACAGAGAGCAGAATAGAAAAACACCAGCCTGGTATTGTGTTGTTTAATGTAATAAAGACTCTAGTCCCTGAGGCAAAAGCAGAGATGTGTATGTCCTAATGTGTATGGCCTTTACATGAGGCTCAATAGTCATCTCTTTCTCTATGTGTCTTTTTTTTCTTTTCACCTTTAACACCATCACACTTCCACCTTTTCACCAGCCTGTCTCTCCTCTGTCACACTGCTCTCTTTAACTGCTGATCACCCTCTCCCACTCTCTTCCTGCCCTCTCACTTCTCTTACATGCACATTTATCTTTCTGCTGCCGCTACTGATGTGTCAGCAAACATAAATGAGACAAGACGCCATAAAGTCGTCTGTGATCTGGAGGGAATGGCAGAGAAAGAGGGGGATAGAATGGGGGATGGGTGGGGAAGAGCAGATTTAGGTAGGGAATGATGGCCCTTTATGTGATCATGTCTGTGTGTGTTTATGCAAAAGCCTGGGGGTCTATCTGACATTATCCTGCCTAGAACAATCCAGATATTGCCCTGCAAAACTTTCCCATCCTGCCTTGCTTTCCGTTTGGGAGAGGCTTACGCATGGACACACAGAAACACACAGAGACCAAAATAATTATGTGACAAATGATCCATAGCTTATTTAGTTTACTTTTATGTTGTGTGGTGAGCGCTACTCTTTTCTGTTATGCTATGTTTTGCGTTGCATTTAGAGTCTGATTGCAGTATATTTTATGTATATTATTATTTAGTAGTGTTGCAACATGGTTAATTTTGTACAGAAACCACATCAGAGATACATAGTGAGCTGTGTCAAGTTAGTAGCATTAAACACAACTTTATTGTGTGTGACTTTAATAGTAAAATGTCTTCTAACTGGATTTTTACCCAGGACCCATATACAGCACAGAGCCACAGTGTCTTAGTTGATGCTGCCTGTGAAACGTTTGCTGAATAGCAGCCAATGTGGAGACAAGTGGCAATTACAGGCTAATGGGGATATCCTAAAATGTAGTGTAACAGAACCACAAGGATTCATCATGAAGTCAGCAATCTGACTCAGTAATGTCAGTTACACGACAATATCTATCTAAAGCTTGCTAACATTGGCTAGTGTCACAATGACCTACACACCAAGTAAGACTATAACAATAAAACCCTAGACTAGACTGTATTGAGGCTTATGAAACTGTTCTTTTTAAAGTTACATAGTCACTTTTAAGTGGTGCAAATTCCTCACAAGTCTACAAATACTCAAACCACCAAAACCAAGTCATATGTAATAAACCTTGGACATTCGTGACCTCTAGGGGTTTAAGGCTTTTGCTTACTTTGCCTGTTTGGTAATCCAGTTTGACTAAAAGATTGCAGGGGTGTTCATAGATAATACAAAGAAAGTGTAATTAAAATTCTGCTAAGGAATCTTATTTTATTTTGGTCAAAAAAAAAGTAGCTGCGAATGTGAGGTGAGCTGCCTCATTCACACTCTGACTCTCGCCCTGCATACAAAGCTAGAAAGAGAGAGAAATGAATGGAAAAAAAGCAAAATACACCTCAACATGACCAGTCCAACCATCTCATTCTCTCCTAATATAAATATTTCAATGCCGCACGCTCTGAAAGTGCACTAATCTCCACTTCTGTGAGTTTGAATAATGAATGCAATAAAAACTCACACTGCTACTCCTAACGCAGCCTCAAACTGCCCCTTGACTGATCTGAATGGGGGAGGCAAGCCGTTGTAAGAGTGGATCGGATAAGCAGAGGACACGATGAGTGAAGAGTTTGGAGAGGAGAAAAGAGAGAGATGATGGGGGGGGGGATACAATGACAGAGAGAGAGGCACGTGGATCACACGACAGACGGTAATAGGTAGGAAAGTCTGTCACATCCATGGATGGATGTCCTGCAGTCAGAGTCAGAGCGTTAAGAGACAGAGGGAAGTAGAAAATTATCCTTCCAGGGACAGTTGTGACCGTTGTCCTAATGGGATTTAATGAACGTTTTGTTCCAGACAGAGGGCCAGTTTGTTTTTCCACTTTGGCTGAACCTTGGGCTGAGGACAGGTGTAATTTCTTAATTATCTTTATAGAGTTGGCTGTCACATATGGATACAGCTCGGGTGATTAACTGGTGTGACTGTAAGTGGGAAGCTTAATGAATCTCCTCTAAATGCTGCAGCAGCTTATGGTTTCCAGTGTAATATGAGGACGTAATCAAGGTCTGACTTTCAGGTCTAGACTACAGTTAATACTGGTGATACATTGGCAGAGTTTGTGGACGCACACTTCTCTTCATTTCTCCAGAATTGTGCTGCTGACTTTTTGACACAACTCATTTTATATGCAAGTGTAGATGTGCAAGTCAGAAATGAGTTTTTTCTGTATGTAATGAACATTTCTAGCCATATCCCCCTATTAAAAACTCAGCACTGATTTCTGCTTGGAAGTCAAAGTGGGACCTCATCCAGCATATTGTGCCTCTTTCTTCCCCGACCCCCTCCTCTTGTCTCTTCTCTCTAGCACCCATAGCCAATCTAAGCCTGTGACTAAAGCGCCATCTCTCAGGCTGCATACTCCAGGCTGCATTTACTCACTGAGTCTGCGGGCGCTAAGAGCCACCTCTGAATTTAAAGCGCATTTCACTCGTCTCCGCGCATTGCCGGACGTCGCTCTGCAGGAATCAGCAAATGTACGGAAATCCAATCACCGTGCATTAAATATACAGTAGCTGCAGACACTTGGTAGCCCTAAAGCGACGACTGCTTGCCAGCTTGTGTTTCGCCAAACATGAGATGCAAAGAGAGAAACATACTGAAGGGAGGAAGGAGATAGATGAATAGATTGATAGAAAAGAAAGGGAAGCGTGCAAAAAAAAAAGCCTCGCTTGATTGGCCGCGGAACACGGAGCAGCACTACAACAAATATCTGACCTCGACCTCCTCGGACGGTGGGAAACTGGTTATTGAAATGGAGATGTCGAGCTTTTCTACCACCCCGTCTCCTCCTCCAACACACATGCTGCTGAGGCTGCTGATGATGATGTTTGCGTAGGAGTGCTTTATTTTGCGGACAGCCGTTGGTGAACCAGTCCCTACTGTTCAAACAACTCCAGACAAGCGGTGGATGAATCTGTGTGTGTATGTGTAAGTGTGTGTGGCTGGCTGCCTTCTCCAAACACATCTTTTTTCAGAGATATTGTTCTCGGAGCTCGGTTTTTTTTTTTTTTTTTTTTGCGTCTTTGGGGTGTTTTTTTGGTTGTGTTTCTGCCAGTCTGGAATTGGACAGAAACTGTTTTGCATGCGAATTATGTCGGGGGAAGTAGCCTAGAAGCAAAGAATACGGCTATTAGCGTGGACATTTTTGGCAAAGAACGCCTCAGCTATTGTATCTTTTTTTAATTAACAACCAAAGAGGATCAGGCCCAGCGGGTCGAGCTTCATCTCTACTTCGATAACAGGCACTTCAGTGTTTTGCTGATTACTTTTCCGACACTGGGGGCTTCTTTTTTCGTTATTGGTTTCATTATTCAGTGACTGAGGTCTAACACAAACTACAACCAGCAGAGGTCGGGACCTGAGCTCCAAGGAGCCACTATTGCCCTAGATGTGACCCTGTGAATTCCTCTTATCTCTGAAGGTAAGTTTCTTCACCATTTAAGAGAGAGTAGTTTTCTTTTTTTTAATTCATTCATTCATATGTTGAATTTGGTTTCACTTGTAGATAAACGGATATGTTACATCTGCTTGTTGAGTCATGCATGCAGTTGAGAAGTTCTGCTTGTTAGGAAATATATATGATTAACTGAAACTGAGGAAATGAGTAGCTAGATAGATAGATAGATAGATAGATAGATAGATGCTTCATGAGTTTCTCATTTCAGCACCATGGACAGAACCACACTTGTCTTACAGAAGGATGGGAGGAATCTGCTTTTCTTCTCCTTATTCCACCCAGAACATTTATAATTTAGTCCATATACACAACATTCACTACATGTAGCAGACTGTGTTTCTGGGAGCTTAAATAAAACTATGGGAAAGATACAGTAGTTGAATGAAAAAGATAGAGATGTACACACAGGCAGAAAGACAGATGAGAAAGAGAGCATGAAGGCGAGGGAGAGAGGTTCAGAAAGGTGCTTTGACAGACTTGCTGGCTGCCCGGCTTGCCACATGCTGACAAAACAGCATGGCTTGTGAGCCACAGCTACTGTCACCAACTGTTAGCCATGGTCACATCCAAACTGTTCGCTCCAGATATTTTTAGGCAGGGTGGAAATGCATCTCAAGCAGCATTAAGGCCGTGCAACACAAAAAACATTCCACTTAATGTGGGTTAAATTGACAAAATATTTCAGGATGTACACAGGATGCAACCCACCACCCACTGGGTGATTTGGAAACACTGTGGTGGATGAAGTAATAACTAACCAGCCAAAATGAGAACCCACATATGTATCTGAATATTTCAGCTTCTACAATAGATTTTTTTTTTTTTAAAGAAAATATTTTCTGTCTCTAGAGACAGCACAGGCACAGAACACAGGGGAGCAGTCAATTAGGCAAGAATTTGCACAACCCATTTTTTATATGCAGTAATGATAACCCCTGACCTCTGTAGAGTATGTGTTGTAAGAGTGATTGGGAAAAGAGGTATTTTGGTATTATAGTGGGGGGACGTACCTTTGCTGAGATGCATTTTACTAAAAGCACTATTTCATACTGCCCTGATTGGACAATAACTTCTTTGTTCTTCTTTTATCATTGCAATGCAATGCAACCTGTTCAGTATCAAAACTTCATTGGGCTGCTACAGTCCAAAGCCTCAGTTCAGGCTCCATTGTATGCTTGAACTGCCAAAGGAGGAATAATATTCATGTGTGAATCAACAGACATGATTTGGAGTTTATGACTGATTTTACCTGAGCTAATCTCCGTATATGCCTCATCTCGTCCTCATGCACTGAAAAGGTTGAACTCAGATCCCACCATATGCAGATTTGTGACACATTTGACAAAAAGACTGACAAATTGAGTGGAGAAAAACAATGCATACAGATGCTTGTAGGGTTTTTCTTTTATTTCCCTGGGGTAAAGATGACTCAAGCTTGCACACTTACTCAGATTGATCCATGGGAGTCCTGAATGAATGAATTCAGTTATATTGTCACTATATTGCTCATGCTGCCTTAGTTTTAGCATCACAGTTACTGGTTTTAAACACTCCATATCATATGATATCATCTGGTCTAAGACAGTATGCCCTAAAGCAAGTATAGGGAATGACAACTGGGACAAAATTTGTGTTGGGGACTGAAGATAAAATAAATACACACACATACATACTGTGCTTCTGGGGGGCCTACAGCAATGAAAAGCTAGGAGGGGCTTGTGTTCCCATGGCGACTTCCTCAGTGACCCTTGGAACAACCATGGCCCCCTGGGAGATCAGTCATACTCCTGCATGGACACACACACATGCACACTCCCCCCCCCAGTGACTGTGTGTTTCTTGTCTGCTCGCGGTTGCTGCTGCTGCTCTACCAGCCTCTCCGTCATTACAACAGGAAAGAGACGAGGAGGAGAGGGAGTTGAAGGACAAGCAGATGAGTGGGATGGAAAAGCAAATTTCAAAGACAGATGGGTGATGAAAAAAGATGAAGAAAGGTGTAGGGAGACGAAAGAATATAAAATAGGGTGCGATGGAAGGAGAAGAGGAGGAGGGACGGTTAAAACACTGGCAGAATAGTCAAGAGTGAATTCAATTACAGAGGCAGCATATACGCTTCTCTTTTTTTCTCTGGGCATTAAAAGTGTACTTACATATCAGCCTAATTACCTTTAAAATGCACTATTGAGAGGGCAAATCATGATAAATCCGCTCTGGTGGAGAAAGAGAGGAGAAGTGGAGTGGATGGATTGAGACTGGGGGAAGGGAATATGGCTGCTCAATGATCATATTAAGTAGTCACCACCCGTTCCTCCCTTCCTCCCCCCCATCTCTCCTCCCCTCCCCTCCCCCTCGGCATAACGCTCTGCTCTCCCCCCTCACAGCTACACCCTGACATGCTCACACATCACACTCACGCACAGATGGGTCCCTACACAGACACCGATATCAGCAGCGCGCGCGCACACACACACACACATGCACAAGCTGCTGGTCAGCTGCCCTCATCCCAATGAGTGATTGTAAAATAAAAAAAAATATAAAAAATAACTGAAGCTCATTCCAAGGAGTAGAAGGGAGGCAGGAACAGGGTGAGGAGAAACAGCAGAGGAACAGCTGCTTTTCCCTTCCTGTGCCTCAACCATGGCAGCTTGATTGTGTGTGTCTTCGAATTTACATGCACATGAGACATAAATAGTTCCAGTAATTGTATCAGTCAATAAGGTAAACACGAGCCTCCAATTGAAGTGCGATTAAAGTATAAATACGGGGGAGGGGGGGTTCTAAGATGGGCCTCATTTCCATAGTTTTGGCTCTTAGCAACTTAATTGCTGAGATAACATGACATCATTATACACACTATACACACAGAATTAGGACTGGCAAAATGAGCAGTCAGAATACCAGACCGGTTGTAAACAAACTCCAGTTCATCCCAGTAATCTAAAACAAGTGAGTTTGAAGTGTTAAATGCCCCTTACAGTCAGTCATTACACCGAAAACTGTATATAATCAAAGCTACATAAGAGCTATGTTGTGAAAATGTTGAATCTTCCTTTAAGACTTGCACAGCTGGCCTGTCTGTCTATATGGCCTGCAGCATGCTGCATACATTACACACTAAATATACAGGCAGACTGCATACTGCTCAGACTACATTTACAATATGCAAGATGTCTGTGTCTACAATATACAGTACATTTCAAAGAAGCCTCTGGGCTTTGCCATTACAAACTCTATGGTCCAAAGCCTTTTTTACAAATCGTACATGCTCATTATGGAAACAGCCAAGTTAATCCAATGTTAAATCTGAGACTGAAAAGTTGCTAATGTCAACATGCTCCTTTTGGACAGTGATGAAGCAAAAATTATTTAAGGACAAGCCACCTCAGCAGGGCCATGACTTACACTGCCATAAGAGGTGATCCCAACAAGTGCATGTGAGAGAAGAGGTTCTCAAACACAAATTCCTCTCTTTCCGATGTACTATATCTTATTTTGCATCTTTGCAATCCTGTCTGACTGCACTGTGCTTCATGTTTATCATCTTAGAGATTAACATACAGTTAGTGAGCTGGGAAAAGTTGGTTCAAGTACAATAAGGCTAGAACTTTTAAGCGTAAACCACCTACTCAAAAAACAGAAAAGGCAACGGTGAAATGTCAGTCGGTAATAGCCCTGTCACCATAGTAACTGAAGACCTGTTCGTACTTTTACACACACTGCCTCTTGAGTGCTGACCGTTAGCACTAACAACCAAGCAATCATCAGCCTTGCACTTTTAACACATTTCCTTCAACCATCTATACATTTCATTTGGGACACTCTCAAAGGTGCCCTGTCCTGCCTTTTCTTCTTCATTTGTCCCCAACATATTCCACATCGTCCTCTCCTCTCCTTTCTTTCTGCATCTTCTCCTGCCTTCTACCTTATTTAACCTCTCTGCACCACTCTCCTTCATGCTGTCTCTTTGAGAGAGCTCCTGTATGTTCCTTTAGACTCCTTTAGGCACACACACACATGCAGAAGACACATGCAAAGAGATAACTAATCAAGCGAATCAAATCCTGGAAATATCAGGCAATAGTTGTTTGCTCGTACACATATTATTTCTCCTTCCAAGACATGTTTCCTGATAGTTAGCTCTGAGGAGCTTGATGCCACATACATAGGGATGTGAGCAGAACATTGTTTTTCATATGTTACAGATGTACATCAGTCGTGGGCATGTGTGTGTGAGTGTGTCAGCTAGGAAGATTCAGAGATCCTAAATGAATTCTTTCTGGCATGATATAGATTTTTATTAAAATTGCCAATATTTTTCTACCCAAACACAAGCAGATAAATACATGAAGACAAAAATAAAAGAAGATGGGATGTTCACTGTGCAAAATTTCACATCTGAAGTAAGTTTCTATAAACTGATTTTCACGGTGCTTTAACCAGTAGCTGCATGGGAAATGGAAAATAACATTTATGTTAACTCCTGGCTATGGTCTGCAACAAGTCCACCAAACTAAACAACATGAAATTTGGCAGCAGACACACACAGTATTGTCAGGGCCTTCCAATACCGTTACAACTGACCAACTTTGACTGCTGGTAGGAAACACGTGCTTTTGCTGTGCTGCACCAACATCCAATTACGACTGCCAGACAAGAGTCGTAATTTGCACGGCCACTAGAGGCCTTTGTCTGGTAAAAGATAATTTAAGCCATTTAACAAATGTTTTCTTTCAAATAAGTGAATTTTAGTGGCCAGCCCACAGATGATCAAGACCAAAGGAATGTTAAGTCTGAGATTAAGAGCTCTGTTTTGGTGCAGGAGCAAGGCACGAAGCTCAGCTCTGCGTGGGTTAAGTGGTATTTTCCCAAAGCATAGTTTCTTTCCCCTTTACTTATGCCAGATTTGGTATTTTTGTGACTTGCATGGAGGACATTTACAGGGCAGAGTGTCACTGGCAATC